AGAATGTTGTTTCAGATAGACTCTGTTTCATCAGACAGACTTCACAGACTACTAATTACTCGAAGATATTGAACCTGACTTTTTCCTTTCCCATAAGGTCTACAAAAATTTTCCCAAAATTTTTCCGAGAATTTTCACAGAATTTTTCCCAGAATTTCCCAATTCTCTCAGAGCTTCGTCACATTTTAGTTAATTTTTGGTATGTCCCAACTTAGAAAAACACTTTCTTTTTTTCCACTTTAATTCACCTAGAGCCGCCTTGATTCTTGATATTTATGTATGTATTTCCCCTATATTACCAAATAACTACATAATTTTGAAATTAAAAATATTTTAACCAAAAATTAAAAAATTTTCCCTAAATTTTTAGAGAATTTTTTGTTCCTTTTTCAATTTTAGTTCACCTCGTGCCTCCGCGATTTTGAATTATATTTTTTTAAAAATACCAAAAAAAATATTTTTTTAAGATACCAGAAGTTACTAACTGGGAAATTTTAGTATAAATTAAATTAAGTTGTGTGAATGTTTTTTGTCTATAAAGACTTCACTAACTACTGGGAGGCATCTAACATGAGTTTTTAATTTTTTAAAATTTCTCCCAGAAATTTCCCTATTCTTCTCAAGCTTCTTTAAATTAATTTAGGGAATTTCCCATATTTTTTAAAGACAAACTTTTTATTTTTCAATTTTTAGTTCGCCTCGTGCCACCTCGCTTTTTGATATTTATTTCCTTTTATTCCCAAATATAGTTGTTCCTTCCGGTATAATGAAACATTAAAAAAATAATTTTCGTGTGACTTTCCTTATTTTTTATTTATTTTTTACACTACAAAATTAATTTTATATTTATTTCGTACCAAAAACTTCTAATTTAAGTACTCAGAGAAAATACAATAATATATTACAATTAATGCCAAATTATTTAAAAAATTATTTAAAATTATTTATAAAATTAAAAATTTTTTTATGAAATTTGTAAATATAGGCTTGCCAGGACCAAAAATCTGTTTCAATTTTGCTTCTAAAAATAGAAAAAAGTAGCATTTCCTCTAAAATAATTATTTTAGTAGAGCTGTTAAAATAATTTCCGATAATTTTTCAACAATTATAGAAATTATAAGCCTTTATTTCCCAATTTTTAGAATTAATTCGAGTATTATGTCCCCATTTGTAATAAAATTTAAAATAATTATTTTAAGATTTTAAAAATTCTAAAAACTACTAAAATAGAATAAAAGTAAAATTTCCCTTAAATAATTATTTTAGAGCTATTAAAATAATTTTCAACAATTATAGAAATATAAGCCTTTATTTCCTTTATTTCCTAATTTTTAGAATTAATTCGAGTATTATGTCCATTCTTCTAAAAATTTTGAAATAATTATTTTAAAATTCTAAAAATTCTAAAAATAATTTTTGAGCAATTTTGGAATGTTTTTTAAGCATTTAAGCTGCCATTTAACTTTTTCTACTAAAATAGCAGTGAAAATATACGTAATTAAAATAATAACAGATAATAATAGGTAATAATAGGTATATAAATAAATTTTTTAAATTTTTATTTATTTTTCATTTTACTATTTTTATTAAAAAAAATTTTTTTTTAAAGCTAACTTGACGTAAAAATTTAATTAAAAGTCTTGGAAACAATGAAAATCTCATTGAAATCAGTTTTGATATTTTATGAAGACCAGAAAGACAGCGTTCTTCAGGTTGAAAGCGAAGATTAAATCTGATCATTTAATCAGCTTTGGGGCATACTAAAATCGGTGTACTTTCTGAAGTTTTGCCAACTTTCTTCCAGATATTTTATTAAGACCATAAAGCCAGAGTTCTTCATTTTGAAAAGGAAGACCATAGCTGATCATTGAAATCAGTTTCGGTTTATTCCGAGGTTTTGATACTTTCTGAAGTTTCTAAAGACCAGAAAGTCAAATCTCTTCTCTTAAAAATTGGCTAAGGTTAAATTAAAATTTCATGACGTTCCTACTAAAATCAAGAAAAATCTTCTGACCATGATCTGAAAAATAGCGGTAAACTCATGGATGGTCATAGCCACTCGATACTCTGAACTAGAGATCGGACTGGGAGGTCCGTACGAGAATTGATATCTCGAAAAAATCTCGAACTCGATAACCCAGATTTTTGACCGAGATCTCTTCATGGTTAGATCTCTAATATAATAAACCTCAATTAAAATATCAATTCTCTATTGTTTAGTTTCCCAAGAATTTTTCTCTTTTTCACACAAATTTTATAATAAAATTTATTTTAATAATAATTTTTCTACATTATTAAATTTAGCTTTTCGAAAAACTTTTTGTAAATAATTTAATTGTAGTCATTTATTTAATAATAAAATCCGAGCCAAATTGGTCTCCATTGTTTTTAAGAAAATTTTCTTTTATTTAATCTCAACTTTTTTTTCGGCATTTATTTAATTTAATGAAAGCAATAAAACTAGCAAAATAAAAAATTTTTATAAATTTTTATTTTTAATTTACAAAGAAAATTCTGTTTCCATTTAATAATTAACTTTATTTATTTTTAATAATGAATAGTTAATAAATTATTTTTAAAAAATTTTTTTGAAGGTATAATATTTAATTTGAAACATTAAATTCATTTAAGAACACAGATTTAGGAAATCGTGTCAAAAAAATTTTTTGTTGTTTAATCTTTATTCTTAAAATAGCCTGTAATATTAATAAAAATAACCTGGAGACCAGAGTTGTTTCGAAATTTCGATTTTCGAGGGTTTTTTCTTTCGATTTTTTAAGATTTTCCAGTTTCGAAACATCTCTGCTGGAGACTCTGTATTTATAGACAATTTGGTTCCGTAATAAATACAATTTTCTCGCAGGAATAGAATTTTCCGGAAGGGAAATAAATTGAACTTCCGGAAGGAAAATCCGGAAGGAAATTCCGGAAGGAAAATCCGGAAGCAAAATCCGGAAGGAAATTCCGGAAGGAAAATCCGGAAGCAAAATCCGGAAGGAAATTCCGGAAGGAAAATAAACCTAAAATTGTTATTTTTTCTACTATTCCAAATAATAAATTTTTAAATTTAAAAAGAAAATTATAATTAATATATTTAAAATTAAATTTTAGAATATTACATATTATATTTTCATTAATTATTTCCTAATTATAAAAAATATAAAATGGGCGATCATCAAAGTAACAACGTATTATTTGGAATTGAGATAAACTCTAGTTTGGGAACGCCGGTAATTAATAAAATTCCGGAAGAAAATATAAAAATTTTCCGGAAGAGATATAATTCTGAAATATTTAAATTGTTTATTTATATATCAGAATTTTTAAAGGAGGACTTTTCCGGAAAAATCAGAATTTATTTTAATAGACACATACATATAGGTATATTATAATACATACTTTTTTCCGGAAGGATATTTTAATAGACACATATATGTAGTTATAATATATATTCTTTTCCGGAAATTTATTTCAATAGACACATATTGTATGTATATTACATACTTTTTCCGGAAAGATATTTTCCGGAATCAGATTTTTCTGTTATAAAAATAAGAATTCTATTTCCGGAATAAAAATAGAACCGGATCTATTATATTTTACTTACCACATGTATTTACATATATATTTCCGGAAAGAAAGTTTCCGGAATTTTAGTAAATTTGATTTATTTAAATAAATTCTAACAGCTCTACCAAGCATATGCCAACAACGGCCAAACATGGCATATTGTTCTCCCTGCATCTCTCCTATTTATTGTAGCCCTCTCCGGCATTATCCTCAATTCCTTCGTTGTAATAGTCACAATAGCAACCCCAACATTGCGCGGATCAGCCAATTATTTAATGGCTTTAATTTGTTTTTGTGAGGTTTTACATGCTTCTGGACATTCTATATTTTTTGTTATTGCTGTTACTGGAAAGAATTTTGTTCCTTTATTTGCTGCTAATTTGTTAATGATTGTAGGGGCTTAATTTTATTAATCATCCATTAAAATCTTCTAGCCTTCAATTTTCGCTCTATGTTCTTGTATGCCTTTAATGCTTTCCGCCGCTGCTGACAGACTTTTTGCTGTAGCCATTCCACATTTGTACACTTGAAATATTTTTAATTTTAAACTAATTTTCTTAAACAAATTAAGACACAAATCCATCTGTATAGAACATAAACGGGCATATCTTGGGGTACATACGGTATTCTGTGCTCTATGTGGTGTTTATGGTCTTTATTTTATCACAGCTTTTTCAATACAAAATCCGAATATGTAAGAAAAATATAAAAAATATTCACGTATAAATTAAGACCGATAACTTCCTGTATTGCTGATATTCTTGCTGGAGATGTAGGAATTCAATATTTTATTTATAGCGCAGTTTTTAATTCATTAACTGCTTTGTGTTATATTTTAATATGGGTGATAATACGATGTAATAAAGGAGGTAATAATTAAACAAATTTATGAATTAACAGAATTAACCTTAAGTTTATCAATGATATTCCTCAGTTACTGGTAAAACATATCGGATTCCGAATATTTGAGAGATTCGGAATCACATAAATATATTCCGGTTACTTAAAACTTAAGTTTTTAGTTAATTTAATTTTATAATCCGGAAAAAATATATTTAAGTGGATATTCCGGAAGAACTTGTTTACCATAAAACTTAAGTTTTTAGACATATTTTTAAGTTCCATATATATTCCGGAAAACTTTTATTTTCATGAATATTAACTTTATAATCCGGAAAAAATATAAATTGTATTCCGGAAAAACTTAAGTTTTGTATAAATATACACTATGGAACTTAAGTTTTCCGTTATTAAAGTTTCTTAAGTTTCCGGAAAAACTTAAGTTTCCGGAAAACCTTAATAATTAATATGATTATTCTTAAGACTAAGGGTTTCCGGAAACTTAAGAACTTAAGTCTTCTGTTGTATAAAGTTTCTTAAGTTTCCGGAAAACTTTAGTCTTAAGAATAATGATACTAATTATTTTATGTATGTTTCATTTTTATATTTGTATTCTTTCAGTTTCTGAAGAAACAAATACTCGATTACTACGTTCCCTTGTCTGTATAATGGTTATCTCCATTGGCGGTTATATTATAAATCTTTCAGTATATCAAGCGTTCTTCAAACTTATCGAAGAACAAATATTTAGTCAAATTCTTCTCTGGCAACTTAGCTTTATCCCCGGAATTTTATTAAATCTTGGGGCTGCTTCAAATGCTTTAATTCTTTATTTTACCAGGTTTTCTGAAATAATTTTTTTAATATTTTAATTTTCTTTTTAGTTCTGAATACAGAAAAACGTTTAAACACCATTTGAAAAACGTGGCCAAAGCTTGCGGGTTAAAGGGCACAAATACAGTGACTATGATGGGCCCTATGCTTCATACAAGTACCTATAAGAACAGCAAGAATGGAAATAATTATTAAACAAATAATGATTTAAATATATGTATTTTTTATGGCATTTTTTATGTACTTTCTCCCAAAAATTAAAAATAAATTTAAATTATGACAAAAAATATGACGAAAAAATTTTTTATTTTTAAATTAGTATTCGAAATGTTTGTGTGTGTAATTATATTTATCTAGTTGCATCTATTTATTTAGAAAGCTCATCTTTAAATTCAATTATAAATTTAATTATATGTTTCAAAATTATTTTAATTATTATTCATGTTTTTCTTTTGCGAGGATGTAGGCAACATAGGGGACACTTTTGTAACCTTAATCGAGACTTTGACTCCAAATAATTTCGCTAAAATTGTCAAATTCTTTTTAAATGCTTTGCGATACTCAGTACTAAAAAATTAATTAAAGCAAAAAAAAATTTCAACTAAAAACCTCGTAAAATAAAGCACAATAGCATTGGAAGCCCCACCAATGTTTAACAAAACCCCCGCAACAAAAGCAAGTTGCCAAAGTAGAATTGGATCGAATATTTCATTTATAATGAGTCTAAATTTAGAGGTCGGCAAAATCGTGTTTGCGGGATCCCGCATGCGGGATTTTTTTCCAAAATTTTTGCGGGACAGGATTTTGCGGATAAATCCCGCAAAAATCCCGCATCCCGCAAAATCCCGCATTCTAAATTTGCGGGATCCCGCGCGGGATTGCGGGATTTTTTAAAATTTTGAAAAAAGTTCGAATAAGTAAGCAGGACGGTAAAGTTTGGCCTGAAAAACAAGCTAACGATCAGTCTCAGTGAGATAAATGAAATATTACCACTTCCTAACACAAAAACCTGACTTTTGAGGATTGACTTTTTACTTTTCACGATTGACCTTTGCTGATACTGTGGTACGACACGTGAAGATCTTCTGATCCTCAAGTCAGATTCTTAAAAGTTGATGATATGACAAATAATATTCTCCACATGTAGGATATAGAAGGATTACATATAAGTTAATATTTGGGGGTTAACAGGTATTTAAAGTGATCTGAGAGATATATAAGGATTTGGAAAGATTAAAAAGGATTGTTGAGGATTTGTAGGCGTAGGATGGATACCTGAGGATTTTGGGATCAAGGGAAATAAAGTTAGAGTTGTGAAGACCAAGGGAGATATCGAGGGATTAAAAATGATTCCGGTGGTTTGAGAGAATTAAAAATGGTGAATTTCGGTAGATTAAAATTGATATCGGTGGTTTAACAAGGATATCGTGATCTAACAATTAAGACAATTTAGTTTTGACGAAAAAGAAATGTTCAACGCGGAGCATGCGAAAATTTTGGAGGGTTATTTATCCAGATTTTATCCTTCTTCGGCGCCGCAGGCAAAAATTTTGAGAATATAAGGAAGGCTGTGTAGCCAAAATTATCACTTTTCTAGCGCCGCAGGCGAAAATTTTTGGAATTTCTAAAGTTCAAGACAGAAAATACTCCATTTTACAAAAATCCCGCAAAATACAAAATATTTTGCGGGATCCCGCATGCGGGATTTTTTTTCAAAACTTTTGCGGGACAGGATTTGCAGGATAAATCCCGCAAAAATCCCGCATCCCGCAAAATCCCGCAAATCACAAAAAGTGCGGGATTGCGGACGCGGGATCCCGCAAAATCCCGCGCGGGATCCTGTCCCGCGCCGACCTCTAGTCTAAATACTGCCTGATAAACGGCTAGATTGACTATATATCCTCCAACTGATATAAGCATAATGCAAACTAAAGCACGAAGCAAGCGGGCGTTTGTCTCTTGACTAACTAAATTAAAAAAAGATTAGCCGTAAATAATATATCTATCCGGAAAAATACATATAACTTTCCGGAAAACTATATTCTAACTATTAATAAGATTAATAAAGGTTTCCGGAAAACTAAGTTCTTAAGTTTCCGGAAAAAATAAATCTTAAAAAACTAAGTTCTCAAGTTTTAAGAGTTCCGGAAACCTAAGTTTTAAGTTTCCGGAAGACTGAGTTCTTAAGTTTCCAGATTTCCGGAAACCTAGGTTTTAAATCTTTTCTCAAGTTTCCGGAAAAAATAAATTAAGTTTCCGGAAGTCTAAGTTCTTAAGTTTCCAAAAAGCTAAGTTCTTAAGCTTTCGGAAACTACGTTTTTAAGCTCACGGAAACACTAGTTCTTAAGTTTCCGGAAAACTTGCCTTGCTTTTTGCAACGTATTATGCCCCATATTAAAATATAACACAATATTGTCAACATATTTACACTAGAGCAATAAATAAAAAATAGATTTCCAACATTTCCCGAAAGCAAATCGCTTATACATCCTGTTGTTGGTCTGTAAGATTACTTTATTTATTAAAATAATTTTTTTATCAAGTACATGTTTGGATTTTCAATTGAATATTTAGTTGCATAGTAGACGTTGAAAAGACCTAAGGTAATACAGGCAAAAGTATGAATACTGAGGTATAAGTATTTATGGACTATACAGATCTTTGTGTGCCTTTAAAATAATTATCTGAATTAAATTTTAAAATTATTATTTTATACATTTGAGGAGCTCCCACAGCAAAAAGTCTATCTACAGCAGCGGAGAGCATTAAAGCCATACAGGTACATAAAGCAAAAATTGAAGGCTAAATAATAATTTTCGGAGTTAATTGATGAATAGTTCTACGCTCTTACAATCATTAACAAATTAGCAGCAAATAAAGGAACAAAATTCTTTCCAGTAACAGCAATAACAAAAAATATAGAATGTCCAGAAGCATGTAAAACCTCACAAAAACAAATTAAAGCCATTAAATAATTGGCTGATCCGCGCAATGTTGGGGTTGCTATTGTGACTATTACGACGAAAGAATTGAGGATTATGCCCAAGAGGGATACAAGGAAGAAGCTTGAAGCAGGAACGATTATGTTCCAAGTTGGGCCGATGTTGGCATAAGCTTGGTAGAGCTTTAAGAAATTTTTAATAAACCAGGCAATTAAAAATTAATAAAATCCACTTACAGGCCCAGTGATCGGAGTAATTAAATTTGGATTTATTTCAATCCCAAAAAGACTTCCATTGTTCGTTTGATTAACTTGCATTACTTATATAAGTTTATTTATTTCTAAATTAGGTAAATTTATTTAAACATTGAATATACTAAGTTTCTTATTTCCCTAATAATACAAAAATAGAAACAATTCTTAAATAAAAAATGTATAGTAAAATTGTTGTCGCATAAAATTTATTTAATTTTTATTTGATGAAAAAGATGGTTTATTTATAAATTTTGTACTTATTTTAAATTTAGATTATGATTAAAAATAAATTAATTAATTTAAAAAATAGTTTTAATGATTAAAATAGCAACAATAAGGCTTAAAATTTATTTTTAAATTAAGTTTTGTAGTTTTTAGAGAACTGTAGCAATTGTACCAACTATGAAACTGATGTATACCGTGCATTAAAAAAATTTTTTAAGAAAGCTCTTACGCTTTCATTATTTAAAAACTTTTAAAATATTATTAAAAAATGACTTAAATTTATTTGTATTAAGTAGACGAAATTATACAGTCCTCCACATAACTATACAGCCACCCTATTTTTCAAAATTTTTCCCGCTTAAATATGAATTTTGAAATTTTTAAACTTAAATATAATAGACAAGCAGCAAATGGACCGATTATTATGCTTTTTCAGAAATTATTAAGTTTTATTCAGTTATTTTTCACTTTACCTGACAAAATTACCTCCACATAACTATACAGCCACTTGTATTTTCGACCTTAGGAGTGGTCCGAAAAATCTACAAAAATTCCTGTAAGCATATCCATTGGTATGTATAGAAAATACAAAAGAAATGAAGTTCCGATATAATTCCTTCATTGAGATCTGAAAACCCGAAAATCAACGGAAAAGCGAGGTAGACGTCTTTTAAAAATATTTTCGACCCCTTACAAGTAAAATAAAAATTTAATTTTAGGATCATTTGAAAGCCCTTGAAATTTGCTACAAGATAGTTTTCATCTCATTAACCAGAAAAAATTATTCTTTGAGAAATAATGAGTTTAGTTTGTAAGTTACATTTTCATCAATTTTTGGGGGGCGTTTGAGTGATTTTTATGACCTGAAAGTTTATAACATTATGTCTCCAAGGTGAATTTTTTGGGAAAATAAAATTGATGCTATCTTGTAGCAAATTTCAAGGGCTTTCAAATGAGCCTAAAATTAAATTTTTATTTTACTTGTAAGGGGTCGAAAATATTTTTAAAAGACGTCTACCTCGCTTTTCCGTTGATTTTCGGGTTTTCAGATCTCAATGAAGGAATTATATCGGAACTTCATTTCTTTTGTATTTTCTATACATACCAATGGATATGCTTACAGGAATTTTTGTAGATTTTTCGGACCACTCCTAAGGTCGAAAATACAAGTGGCTGTATAGTTATGTGGAGGTAATTTTGTCAGGTAAAGTGAAAAATAACTGAATAAAACTTAATAATTTCTGAAAAAGCATAATAATCGGTCCATTTGCTGCTTGTCTATTATATTTAAGTTTAAAAATTTCAAAATTCATATTTAAGCGGGAAAAATTTTGAAAAATAGGGTGGCTGTATAGTTATGTGGAGGACTGTATACCTAATAATTATAAATTCTGATTATTATAAAATCAGAATTTATATTTTAGAACGAGCAGAATTTTATTTCAGAAGAACAGAAAATTCCGGAAATATAATATATATTTTCCGGAATTTTCCGGAAAAATAGAACAAACATATATTAGATGTTTCCGGAAATATAATATATATTTCCGGAAAGAAATAATTCTATAAATTCCGGAAACGTGATATTTATTTTTCGGAAATATAGAAGAAACATTATTAGATGTTTCCGGAAAAATAATTGCTTCATTAAATTTAAAATTTATTTATTTTTAGCAAATATGTGCGTGTTGTTTTATTAAATTTTTAAATAAAAGAAAATTAAAAATTTCTTTATTCAAATAAAATAAATTGGTAAATTAATTCAAAAGAAACTTTTAAATAACAAAAAAAAATAAAATGTAAAAATAAATACGAAAATAAATTGAATTAAAAATTAGTTTTCCGCTACAAAATTTAAATAAAATAAATACACAACTAAATTTATTTTTGCAAATTTCCGGAAACGTTTTTTTTAATTTTAGAAATATTCAAGAAAATACTAAGAATACTTCGTTCCCAGTTAAATAAACACAAGGTTTCCGGAAGGATTTCTTTCCGGAAACAAGTGTTGTTTTACGTCCGAGATTGTCTATGAATAATAGTTAATCCAAAGGAAAGTACAATGTAGAACGATAGGATTGAATAGACGAAGGAGATTAGGGACTAGCCGGACTAGTATGATCCAACTAAACTAATATTTTAATGAGTATTTTCAAATCTTTTTTAATTATTATTCAACTTGTAGTTTTTCTTATTTGAGATTGGTAGGCAAAATTGGAGTCACTTTAGTTACCGAAACTTTAAGTCCACAAAATTTGGCCAAAATTGTCAAATTCTTTTTAAATGCCTTGCGATACTCAGAACTATAAAAATAATTAAATTTAAAAAATTTTTACAACTAAAAACCTCGTAAAATAAAGCACGATAGCATTGGAAGCAGCGCCAATATTTAATAAAATCCCCGGGATAAAACCAAGTTGCCAAAGTAAAATGGGATTAAACGCATAATTTATAATCAGTATATATATTGCCTGATAAGCTACAATATTGACTATATATCCTCCAACAGATATAAACATGATACAGACTAAGGAACGTAGCAGGCGTGTGTTTGTATTTTGACTAACTAGATTAAGAAATTATTACTGTAAAATATAATTTTCCGGAAAACTATATTCTTAATTTAATTACAAACTTAAAAGAATAGGAGTCTTTCCGGAAAACTAATTTCCTAGCTTTCCGTGGAAATATAAACTTAAGTTTCCGTAAAACTATTTCGTAAAACTATAAACTTATGTTTCCAGAAATCTAATTTTCTAGCTTTCCGTAAAACTATACACTTAAGTTTCCGGAAAACTTAAGTTAAACTAAAATTAAACTTGAACTTAAATCTTAAGTTGTTTTAAGTTTGCAGAATACTACTGAAGTTTATCCGTAATATTATCAAGAAAACTTAGGCTATTCAGGTAAATTTACGTTTTCCGGAAACCTTTTTTCGATTATACTTTCTAAATTAAGAGTTATTCCTGTAATTCCTAATTTTCTTTAATTATTTTACCTCCTTTATTGCAACGTATAATTATCCATATTAAAATATAACACAGTGCAGTGAGCGAATTAAGAATTGTACAATAAATTAAATTTTCAATTCCAACATCTCCACTAAAAATATCAGAAATGCAAGCAGTTGTCGGTCTTTAATTATTTTTACGTAAATATTTTTTAAATATTTTCTTACATATTCGGATTTTTTATTGAAAAAGCTGTGATAAAATAAAGATTATAATTACCACATAGAGCACAGAATGTGATATGTACACTTAGATATGCCCGTTTATGTTCTATACAGATAGATTTGTGTCTTAATTAGTTTAAGAAATTAGTTTAAAATTATAAATATTTCAAGTGTACAAATGTGGAATGGCTACAGCAAAAAGTCTGTCAGCAGCGGCGGAGAGCATTAAAGGCATGCAAGAACATAGAGCGAAAATTGAAGGCTAAATAATTTTAATGTGTGATTGATGAAATTAAGCCCTTACAATCATTAACAAATTAGCAGCCAATAAAGGAACAAAATTCTTTCCAGTAACAGCAATAACAAAAAATATAGAATGTCCAGAAGCATGTAAAACCTCACAAAAACAAATTAAAGCCATTAAATAATTGGCTGATCCGCGCAATGTTGGGGTTGCTATTGTGACTATTACAACGAAAGAATTGAGGATAATGCCGAAGAGGGCTACAATAAATAAAAGAGATGCAGGGAGAACAATATGCCAAGTTGGACCGCTGTTGGCATATGCTTGGTAGAGCTGTTCGAATTTATTTAAATAAATTAAAGTTAACAAAAATTCCGGAAACTATCTTTCCGGAAATATATATGAAAATACAAGTGGTTATGAAAATAATAAATCCGGTTCTATTTTGATTCCGGAAATAGAATTCTTAGTTTTTATAACAGAAAAATCTTTTTCCGGAAAATATCCTTCCGGAAAAAAGTATGTAATATACCTATATGTGTCTATTAAACATCTTTCCGGAAAATTTGTAATATATTAATATAGATATGTCTATTAAAATAAATTTGGACTTTTCCGGAAAATTTTTCCCTTTAAAAATAATTCTGAACTACTTACAGGCCCAGTGATCGGAGTAATTAAATTTGGATTTATTTCAATCCCAAAAAGACTGCCGTTGATACTTTGAGTACCTTGCATTAGTTTAAGGTATTTTATTTTTATAAGTAAGAAAACCGGAAGGTTGAGCTTTGTTAATATTTTTTTAAATTAAAATTCTTTGCTTGAATAAATTTTATTATGTTACGTTTTTACTTGTACTTAAAAGATTTTTAAATTTTTTAAATTAACCGAAGGACATCAAGGTCTATAAAATTTTATGTTTAACATTTTTATATTTAAATAAATACATTTTAAATTATAATTTTTAAGTAACATTTCTAAGAAATGAAAGAAAAATGCACGCAAAAAATGAAAATAATTGAGTGGTTTACGCTACAAAATTTAAAGTTAAACAAACATTTTTTAAATTGAAGTGAATTATTAATAATAACGGAAATATATCCGTGAAGTGATTAAAAGTTAAATATCCTCGATGTATTTTAAGCTGATTTGAGTGAGTCATAAAATTGAGATAAATCAAAAGTGGCTAGAAGATACTCCTGTAAGGAAGAGAAAGATCCAGCTGGCTAGCATTTAAAACGCTCACTAGGTGGAAGTTTAAGATGTATTAAAAGAGAAGGTGGAAGCTCAGTTGGTAGAGCAACTGTACGTGGCGCCTGCACTGCCAGAAGGTGGCAGGATCCTGGATTAAGATCCTGGAAGTCTGTCCTGGATTAAAGCTTTACCTCGCTCTTACTCTTACTCTCAGTTCAGTTTAAGATGCTGGTTACCTTTTGTGTATTATTTAGCTTAAGAAGAAATAGCCCAGTTTAGCTTTATTGTAATATACCTAAAAAATAATTTTTATTATAAATTTTATTTTAAAAAATTAAAAATTTATAATTAACTTTTTTTTCCTTTCTATTTTTATTTTTTAACTAATTAATAGACTTGTTTGTTTAACTTAAAAAGGGAGTAAATTAGCGGTCCTTTGAATTTAAATTCTGAAGCAATATAAAATAATTTAGTGGAAATGTGGGTGTAAGTGTATTGAATGGCTGTATAAGTGGCACATTCAAAATTGAAAAAAAAAACAAAAAAAATAGATAAATGCCTTAGCTTAAATGCATTTTTCAATTGAAAAAAAATTTCTGAAGGGAAGAGGAGAGAACATCTCCCCCTCCTCTCCCTATCTTCGCCCTCCTCCTCTCTCCATCATAGTTATCTTCAAGTAAAATAGGCTCTCTAAATGCATTTATGTGCTTGTTAAATATTTATTATAAATAATGAAGAAGGGAAATATACATCCCTTGTCCCATTCCAGCTGTTTTATTCAAATATTTTTTAAATATTATTCATGCTTTATTTTATTTTTTTAATTTGAAGCAAGCAGATCGAGCTAAGACACTCTCACCTTCATTAAGTCTAACAGGAATCTAAGAGAAGACTTGAGAAGCTTTCAATTTGAATTTTAAATTTTAAAGTTTTAAGCAAGTGTGAAGACTCTAGATAGTTCTCTGATTCTCTCCCACATTTTGAATATTGGAAAAAAATTTTTTTTAATTCCCCACCCTTAACCCTCGAATTAATTCCCCGCACTTCCCCACCTTATGGAGGGCTTGAAGCAAGCATTCTTTACCCCAAGATACTCTACTGCACGTTCAAATTTCAAAACTCGGTTAATTCACCACCAAAAAAAATTCCCTATCTTACGGATGGGTTGAATTATTAATTCTTCAGGAAAACTAAAAATTAAATTTTTCAATATTCCACCATTTAATGAATAAAATTCAACAGAAATTTCAACACAAATTCATTGCTATCCTCACAAAACAATTTTCTACATTTACAAAAAATATAATTTTCTCTCTATTTTTGTTTAAACACCTTGTATAATTTCCGAATCATCATCCAATCATTCCCTTTTATTTTTACTTTTTTAAAAAACATTTTTAGCTTCATCCAGAAAAAGGGAAAATCATTGGAAAGCACGCTGACTATGACATAATAAAAATATTTTTTTATTTTCTATTTTATTTTTATTTTTTGTCAAGACGTGAATAATTTTAAAATAAAAATTGAAAAATTTAAAACAATGAAAAAAATTTTTAAAAATTATTTTAAATTATTTTAGGTAATTAAAATTGTTTGAAACTTTTTTGCTTCAACTTTTTGTTTATGTATGTTTATCAGAATTTTAGGCCTATCAGAATTTTGCTGTATTTTTATTTTAATAATTCTGATACATATACTATAAAACACACAAAAACACATAAAAACACAAAAATCAGAATTCATATATTTTAATTAAATCAGAATATTGTGTTTTCTTTTAACATCAGAATTTGTATTTTTATTTAATACTTAATAAAATACAAAAATAATTCTGATTTATTAATATTCTGATTTCAAGTTTATTTGTGTTTTATTGTATTTTCTTGTTCTAATTAAATCAGAATTATTGTGTATTTTCTTTATTTTCTTTCTTCTTTAATTTAATTATAAAATCAGAATTTAATTAAAAATCAGAATTTAATTAAAAATCAGAATTTAAATCAGAATTTAATTAAGAATCAGAATTCTTTCTCTTAAGAGTTTACTATATATTATTTACACCCTTAACAATCATACAAATATTTTTAAATTATACATATTTATAGTTTAAAGCTTCTAATGGCTTTACATGTAAGTGACATGCTTGCTATTCAGCTGTAATTGTAATTATTTTTTATTTTTCTAATTAAACATGTCAATAAATAACTTAAATCGATTCAATTTTAATTTTATTTATTTATGTAATTAATTTAAAAAAAAATATTTTTTTATTTTGAATGTCAAATTTTGTTAAAATTCTTGTCAAAAATCCTCAGAAAAATTTTTCAAAATTTTCCATCAATTTAAAAATTTATTTTGCTTCAAATTTGCATAATTCGCTGCTTAATCCCCCCTCTTTTCTAAGAAAATAAATTTGCCAAAATTTTAAAAATATTTATTTTTGACTATTTTTCTTTCCAACATCTATTCTTGACTTGTCCAGACAAATTATTGATAAATTTTTTTCTCTAATCTGCCGAAAAATATTATAAAAAAAATTAATGGCAATATAAATATAGGCAGTTTTATATTTTACACCTATCTTAAAGAAAATACAAAAATAAAATCAGAATTAAATAAAACTTATCAGAATTAATTTAAATAAACTTGAAGCAGAAAAAGTTTATTGGTATTTTATTGTATTTTCCGTATTTCAAGTTTATTTTTAATTCTTATTTTAAATAAACTTGAAAATAACAAACACATATAAAATACAAAATTTATTCTGATTTCAAGTTTATTTACTCTTGTATTTTTATTTGTATTTTCTTGTGTTTTTCGTATTTTATTTTTAGTTTATTTTTAATTAATTCTGATACATTCCAAGTTTATTTTTAATTCTGATTTTATTTTTGTATTTATTAAAATTGAAAAATTCTGGTTTTCTACAAAATGTGTTTTTTCTTTGTATTTTAAGTTTAGTCTCGCATATGCCTTTTATTTATAAACAAAAGGCTTTTATGGCAAAAGCATTATTCTCTTTAAGGACTTACTGCTCTCTACTTCAAGTCCAATATTCTCAAAGGAGCACTTTTGGGAATTTTGCCCTAGGGGGTTTTTCGGCTTTTTTGCCAAGTCTTGTCAAGATTGAAAGAACAAAAAGGAAAAATAAGAAAAGTGGCACAGCTTTCCCCTTCCTTTTATTTTATTTATTTTCAAATTCTTCGTGTAAATCCCCTCCTTTTCTTCCACTCACTTCCTCTCTCCCTCCTACTTCTTTCCTTTATTCTACCCTTTGGGCAAATCCATAATTTTATATGTATTTTATGCTTTATCCTATGTATTTTTTATTTGTTTTAAGCAAATTATAAATATTTGTATTTTTGTATTTTTTGTATTTTTTCTAATATTGTAATTGCCTATTGTAAAATCTCTCTAAATGTCTCTTATAAAATAGTACTCTCTCTCTCTCTCTCTCTCAAAAAAAATAAACTTGTTTTAATTCTGATTTTTAAATAAACTTGAAAATACAAAGAAAATACAAAGATAATTCTGATTTAATTATATTCTATTTCAAGTTTATTTACTTACCATTTATTTGTATTTTGTCGTATTTCATTTGTATTTTTTTTGTATTTTTTATTCCAAGTTTATTTAATAAATTAATTCTGATACCAAGTTTTATTTTTAATTCTGATTTAATTATTTAAATTTAAAATAAATTCTGGTTTTGTTTAAGTTGTAGCATATTGCTTCATTTATTGTTTTATTTGTTGCTTCAACGATTTTTTAAAAATAAAAATTAATTCAAATTTTTTTTTTAATTTTCAGAGCTTCCCAATTATTAAATAAATAAATAATAATTTTAAAAATTATTTAATTAAAAAATTTCCAAAAAAACTGAAGCGTCCAAAGCCCCAAAATTCGCAGCAGTCCACATCGGCTGCTGTAGAAGAGGAGGAATTTAAAAAATATTTAATTAATAAAAAACAGAATTATTCAAAATTACCCAAAACTACGTTTGATTCATCATTAAATATTATGCAAAGTGAAAAGCAAAAAAATATTCCTGTGTTAACTAATGGGTTGTTGAACGAAAATACATCATCCTCCTCTGCTTCTAGTTCCTCTTCCGCCTCTTCAGGCATTTAATTTTTATTTTTTAAAATTTTTTTCAGAGTCATAGACCTCTGAAAACATTTAAATTTAATTTCATTTTGTTCCGAAAAAAAAATTTTTTTTAATGGAAATAATTTATGAAGGCCGTCATCGTCCAGAATACCAGCAACAACTACCTAACAAAAATGTGTCTCCCTCCTCTATGTTAAATAATTCTTCTACTTCGTCTTCTGCTGAATTACAACAATTAGTACAACAATCTATACTGTATGGGCAACAAGTAAAAAATAATAATTTTTTAAATTTATTTAAAAAAAATTAATTTTAGCAACAAAATAATCACTCACTTCCACAAACAACCACAACCCCTTTTTCCCTCGCTTCCTTAAATTATGGCCCCTTTGGTCTACCCAGCTTTTCACTTTCCCCACAAAATTCATTAAATTTGTTACACCTTCCGCAACAAATTCAACAACAACAAGAAATTGAACGTCAAACGGCGGCGATTGCTGCTTCAGGAGCAATAAATAATGGTTTGGTTAGTACACCAAATGCTTTTGAAGTAAAAATTTAATTATTGTTTCTAATTTAATTTATGCAATGCACATACCTATTTAGGCAATAGTAAAAGAAAGATTTAAATTTCGTATTATTTCACAAACTTAAGTTTTCAAGTTTTCCGGAAAGAATTGTTTGAGGAATAGTTATTTATTCCGGTTTCTTAAAGTTTAATTTACAAACTTAAGTTTTCAAGTTTTCCGGAAAGAATTTTTGAAGGAATAGTTATTTATTCCGGTTTCTTAAAGTTTAATTTACAAACTTAAGTTTTCAAGTTTTCCGGAAAGAATTTTTGAAGGAATAGTTATTTATTCCGGTTTCTTAAAGTTTAATTTACAAACTTAAGTTTTCAAGTTTTCCGGAAAAATCCAAAAGGGGAGAATTTTAATAATATTTTAATAATTTGATTTTAAATTTTTAAATTTATTTATTTAGGGTCTCCCAATATTTGTAATGCCAAACAATGGTGCTCTTTCACTCAATGCACTACAACGTGCCGCTGTAAATTAATTATTAAATATAAATAATTTAAAAATAATTTTAAATAGGAGTTTAAAGCAATGGCTATTAATGCACTTATTCAACAACAACAATCACAACAATTAAATCTAAAAATAGATACAAGCAGTAAGATTCAAATACAGTTTGAATCTCATTTTTAAATAGACCCTTAATACTCCTCAATTTAAGGCAATTTTCGAAAAAATGGTTGGTCTCTGGGTGAGGATCTCTCATATTCGATACCGTTTAGAATTTAAGGCACCTCTCTAATAAGGTACAATTTTTTCATTCCTAAGTAGGCATCTAAAAATGAGATTTGATTGTAATAAGAGTTAAAATCACACACATCCCCCAATTAAAAAATTTCTTTTAAAGAACATTTTCACGTATTTGTCGGTGATCTCTCACAAGATGTTGATAATCAAATGTTATATGACGCTTTTAGCAAGTTAGGGCAAGTCTCGTAAGCTGCTTAATTCTCAAAGTTATTAAAAAATTATTTTAAAGAGAAGCCAAAGTAATGAGGGATCCACAATCAACAAAATCCCGATCATTTGGATTTGTTGCCTACCCTTCAAAAGGCAAATTTATTTTATTTTTAAAATTTCTCCAAGAATTCTGATTTTTTCTTCCAGAAGACGCTCAAAGGGCCATTGAGGAAATGAATGGAGTTCAGTTAGGTAGGAGAGCGATAAGAACGGGTTGGGCTATTAGACGGAGTGGAACAGAACAACTAAAGGTTGGGTCAGAAGATGAAAAGGAAGAGGTACTGTTTGAATTTAATTCTGGAGAAAATTCAGAGACCAGAAATTTCAAAATTTTAAAAATTTAATAAGGTTAAAGACTCAAAACGGTCAAAATTCAAAATCTCTAAAATACATAATATTAAGTAGTGACCGGAACGGATCCAGCCGATTTTTCCTAAGTCCAAGTCCCAAATCAGTGTTTTCTCCTGATCTACGGGACAAAACCGGACCGGATTAATCAGGAAAAATCCGGCAGATCCGGTCCGTCTCAAGTTACAAATCCGGGTCCAAAAAATCTATTTTGCCGGTCACTATTATTAATCGTTAAAAATACAGTATTCCAACTCAAATGCAACCTTCGAATCAATCTACAACTCAACAGAAGCGGATAACACAACAATATATCTGGGTGGTTTATCAAGTGCAGCAACAGAAGAACCTATAAAACTGGCTTTTAGCGAATTTGGAATAATCAAAGAAATACGTCTTTTCGCCGCACAGAATTTTGGTTTCGTTGTGTTTTCTGACAAAACTTCAGCTACAAAAGCGATTTTGGAAATGCATGGAAAAGAATTAAATTTAGGGATAGTTGGAGGGAAATGCCGTTTGCGTGTTAAATGGGGAAAGCCTGTACAACAACAACAAAACAATAATGGGAAAGGAGGGGATAAAGGGTGGATATTAAATAATGAGTCGGTTAATCTTGCGTTGAATACTCAACAAAATTCTGCGGTTGCTGCAGCAGTAGCACAACAACAACAACAACAATTAGCATTAGCTTCTGCTATTTTACAAGCACAGCAACCAATATTTCAGCATCCTGTTTTAATGGGAGGAGTTGTGCAACAACCGCCGACTTTTCAACAATCGGTAATTGGGGAAAATAAGCAAATAATTCATACTAACTTGACTTTTTAAAACTCAGGATTATAAAGAGTAAAAATTTTTAATTCAAACTTAAGTTCAAACTTCTAACTTAATTTAATTTACAAACTTATAAACTAGGTTTCACAAACTTTAAACTTGAGTTTAATATATCGCAGACTTAAGTTTTCTGTCTATTTAAAACTTTTTCCGGTTGTTTTTAAGTTCCGGTTAGTTTTTCAACTAAAGTTTCAAACACAAGTTTTTCCGGAAAAAATTAAGTTTTTAAGTTTTCCGGATAAACTTAAGTTTTAAAATGCGAGTAAATTAAGTTTACAACTCTTCCAGTAAACTTAAGTTTTTAAGTTCAAACTTTTTTAAATTCATTGTATAAATAAATCTAAAAATTACAGCAACACCTTATTGCCCAACTCGCAGCACAACAACAACAACAAAATCTACAACAATCTTCAGCACATAATAATGGGTTCGGTACATTCCTAAATGGTTCAATTCCTGCAGCTACAAATTGGCCCCAAACTCAACAATTTTAAAAAGAAGAGGTTATAATCTTAATTATAGGTGAAATTTCTACTAAAAATCTAGTTGTTTAATAATTATTTCCCAGAAAATTGCTTTATTTTATGTTTATAATCCTTAAATTTACTCTTTGAAGCAAATAAATTTTTTTTATTAAAAATTAATTTTATCTTCCAAAAGCATTCCAACAAAATATTTATGTATTTATTAATTAAAAATTAAAAACAAAATTGCGATTGAAGAAAATTATGAATTTGAAAGGCAAGTTTTTCGAAAGAGGAACAAGTACAAAAATGAGAATAAAAGGCAAAATAAAAAATTAGATTTAAAATTAATAAATTAAAAATTAAAGAGATGCTGTGTGAATTTAATTTAAATAATATAAGTTTATAAACTTAAGTTTTCCGGAAAGAATAAAATTCTTCCTGTTATTTTATTTTCTACTAGTTTGCAAACTTAAGTTTTCAAGTTTTCCGGAAAGAATTTTTGAACTACTTCCGGTTAACTTAAATTATTATCAGTTTACAAACTTAAGTTTTTAAGTTTTCCGGAAAGACCTTCGATAGGAAAAATTAACTTTTCCGGTTACTTAAATTCGTATTAATTTACAAACTTAAGTTTACAAGTTTTCCGGAAGGAATAAAATTCTTCCGGTTACTTAACTTTTTACCAGTTTGCAAACTTAAGTTTTCAAGTTTTCCGGAAAGAATTTTTGAAAGAAAAAACTAATCCTTCCGGTTGCTTAAATTCGTATTAATTTAACAAACTTAAGTTTTCCGGAAATAACCTTCAAAAGAAAAAATTAACTTTTCCGGTTACTTAAATTATTATTAGTTTACAAACTTAAGTTTTCAAGTTTTCCGGAAAGAAATAAAATAGTCGAGAAAAATTGAATAGTAATTTAATTAATTATTATGAGTCATTGATAGAAAGATTAGATAATTTTATCAAAATCAACTGCTATATAGACTATGCTCCATTAAAGTTCCACTACTTCCCCTATTTTTCCGCATCACTCTCATTAAAATTACTAACATTATTAACAACAATAGAAGCAGAAGCAATCCGCCAGAAATTATTGCAATTGGTGAGAGGCAAACAACGGTATTATTGCCTCGTTCTTGGGTAGACCAGTCGATGAAAGGAGCTTCTTGAATGGAGCTGCGTTGGATCGACCCACGTTGAGCAGCAGCAGCGGGTTCTGTGAAAATATTATTGTTACTCATTAGACTTGAGTTTTTAAGTTTTCCGGTTGTTTCCGGATGCTCGGTAAGCACAGCTTACTTAATATTCGCTAACTTAAGTTTTTAAGTTTACACTTAAGTTTGAAAATATTTAAATTAAATAATCTACCATAATCATCCATTATCATCAATTCGGGTGAGCTTATGTCAAAGTCGACTTCGTGTGTTCCTCTCCTTCTGTTATGTGCTCTTTTCCCATCACCAGCATTTAATGAAGCAGGTGGTCCCCGCGTAGTATCTCTTTGCGAACGGGCAGCTGATTTTGCTTCATTACCAGAACGCTTATCGAAAACCTGTTTAAAAATCAGTTGAAATGATTTTAAAAAATTTTCTGACTTGAACAGGTTTTGTCGTTCCATTAAACACTTCGTCATTTTCTTTCTTCTCTTTTTCCTCCTCTTGTTTAACTTCTTCAGCAGAAACAGTCCAATTTGGATCAGCACGTTCAACTGCCTCATCCATTCTATTACTTGTTTTAGAAGCTGATGGAGGGATTTTTCTCTCATGGGGCACTAACATAGCTTTGTCTTTGTGTAGCAATAAATCTGGTTGGGGAAATTCGTCTTTCTTTGAGGAAATTATGTTGTTGGAATTTGTGGTGTGGAATGTTGCTATCAATGTTGGGGGTAATGGAATTCCTTCAGTTGTACTGCTTGATGACCAAGTGGAAGAAGCAACAGTTTCTCTGCTGTTCTCTGCCGAGGCGCTATTCATACGCTCCACACTACTTAGAAGTTGTTCACTTCCTTCAGAAGTGGTTGTACTGCTTGAACTTCTCGGTATACTGCTTGAACTTCTTGTTGTGCTGCTTGAAGGCCTTTGCTGCTCTTCGCCTGATTCTTCCTTTATTGTTGGTTTAATACGATCTGATCTTGTGCTTTCTGTTGACGTACTGCTTGAAAACCGCAAACCGGTTGTACTGCTTGAGAGAGTGCTTCTACTATTTTCAGTCTTTTCCTCAATTCTTTCCTCGTTTTTCAGATCTTGTTTATGTTTATTAGTAGAGGTAGCTGTTATGGCCTCCATAGTAGTTCCAAACTCATTCTCAGGAATCACATCTCCACTGACTTCAACCCGTTGTTTAACATTAGTTTTTGTGATAATCGAAAGTGGTGTAGTTGAAGCAGATGGAGGCAGAGGTGTTTCAGTTGCATTAAGCAGGGCAGATGATTCCCCACTGGTGTCCTCATTAAAGTTTCCGTTAGATGCACTCTTGGCACGTTTTCCGTTGCAATTTGGTGGCTGAAATTTTATTTTTGGGATTTTTAAAGAATTTAATGGAAAATTTTAATTACAGTTAAATTATTGCATTCCAAATCAGAGTTCATACAAAGCTTAATTTTGCAGGTAAAAGACATTGTATTTCGATCAGGAAAATTAAAAGCAGCAGAAGCCTATAAGAATGTTAAATAATTGCAAAATTGAAATTAACAAATAACAAATAATTTAAAAACGTACAGCCATAGCTTTTGTTCTTTCCACCGTATATGTTATTTGGGGCATTAGAAATTCTGAAAAACAAAATTAATAAACTTTAGTGTGCTTTCCGGAAACTTAAGTTTTTTCTTCAAATTTTAAATTGTCCTAGTTTTCCGGAAACTTGTTTTCAAGTTTGTGCTTTAACGGAAACTTAAGTTCTAAACTTTTATTTCAAGTTTTGACTTAAGCTTAAGTTTGTTCTTTCCGGAAACTTAAGTTTTCAAGTTTTAACTTAAGTTTATGCGTAATTAATGCTTTCCGGAAACTTAATATTCAACCTTTAACTTAAATTTACGTCTAGATTTGGTCTTTTCGGGAAGTTAAGTTTTCAGGTTCTAACTTAATTTTCATTGTTTTCCATTTAATTTTGTAAGTTGTTTATAACTCAAAATTTTTTAATTTTTTGATTAACTTAGTTTTATTATAATTCATTTAAATATTACCATCTTTACTACATCCGTTAGCATCAATAATAGCAAATTCAGCCCCCTTTCCATCAACAGCTTGACAATTATATAGCAACATTGAATACATACGTGAGGGGCATTCCCATACATGATAGAGTTGTTCACCAACATGTGTATATTTAACACGAGGACCATTTGGACTATCTCTGAAATTTTTTGAAAATACTCTCTAAGGTTATGGGTTTAATTTTTATGTTAAGGTTATCTTTCTTGTTATCCTTAATTTTGTGTTTTCTCATGGTCACGATTTTACAGGGTTTGGCTGTTTTTTAGCTATTTTTACCCGTTTAGTAGGTATAAGTTTTTTCCCTTCGAAAGGAGCATCCTCTTCCAAAGGACAGAATACCACTCCGAAGGGAACATACCCTTTCGAAGCAAGCATCACCCTTCTAAGGTGGCATATCCCTTGGAGAAGAAGGGATATGCCATATACTCCTCCGTAGAAAACGTTGAACTCATTGAACTCATCCACTCATTTAAACGTGTAATGTTTAAGTCTCTAATTAATACTAAGTCTTAATATTGAAAATTCAAAATAAACTTTGAAAAAAATTTTTTTAAACTCGTAAGGACTGTGTTTTTATTGTTTCCAAGTGTTTTGTGATTTTATTAATTTGCAACATTTTCAAATAAAAATTCAAGTGTAGTAGTGTGTCAAGGTTAATAATTTATAAATAAAAACACTTTAAGATTAAAATGAATTTTATTTATATATTAACTAATAAATAAAAGCTCAAGGCCAATAAACAATATCAAGTGTTTATTATTATTTTAAAAACTTCAAAACTTGCCTATGAACAGAATAAGTACAGGCAGGTAGTAGAGGTTCAGAATACAATTGTTGGGTGACAATATCGCTTAAATATGTAAATATATATTTTTTATTAGATTTTATTAGATGAAAATATATTTGGGAGGATTTTAGGAGGATTAAGTTGAGTTTGGAAGAGAATTATTTTTGAAAACGGGAGAGAATTTAAGATTAATCTCTATTGGAACGCATTGGAGCGCTTATTTAAATTTTATCAAAATTTAAAAAAAAAATTTTTTAAAAATTATTTAATCCATTAATATTCAATTTACCTCACTCCAAAATCAACACTAACATCCTGAGGTTTTTCTTTGTAAAAACAATTGACATTATATGCGCGATCAACTTTTGTGACAAATAACTATAAAATAATAATTTTATAAGTGTGTCTTAAAAATATTTTCCGGAAACTTAAGTTTGCATATTCGAACTATGTTTTTAATTTATTAACAAATAGTAATCCGGAAACTCAAGTTTTAGGTATGTTCTAATAAAGTTTTTGAGTTTATTCCGGAAACTTAAGTTTTTGTTCGAGTTAAGTTTATTTTTATGTTTTCCGGAAACTTGAGTTTCTGTTAGAGTTGTATTTATTTTTCAATGTTTTCCGGAAACTTAAGTTTTGTTCGAGTTAAGTTTTTATTTTCCGGAAACTTAAGTTTCTGTTCGAGTTAAGTTCTTATTTTCCGGAAACTTAAGTTTTGTTCGAGTTAAGTTTTTATTTTTCAATGTCTTCCGGAAACTTATGTTTTTGTTCGTTTCCTTAATAATAGTATTCCGGAAACTTAAGTTTTATGTTCTCATTAGTTTTTAAAGAGATAATGCATAAAATAAAAAGTTTAAAAAATTTTTTCTTCTAACCGGATGTAATTGAACTACAATAGTCATTTGATAAGCAATTCCAGGATTCGGATTAATTTCTCTTTTCCTTCTAACATTACACTTTGCCAGTTCAATAGTTACATTTCTTTTGTTATGGAAAGTACAATCCTCATTATGGCTTTGTCCACGTACATAAACTGCTGAGGCGTTACCACGTCGAGTGTTAACAGTAAAGTGTACAACACCTGGGCCACATGTAATTTCTGGTTCGCCTTTTTAGAGGAAAAATTAAATTTAAAGGAAAGGAAGGGAATGAAGATTTGTTTTAATTAAGAACGATTAAGTTCAAGGTTGCCCCTCGTTTAAGGAGGGCAAAAAAACAAACAGGCAATGACCGCAATAAAAACCAATTAAAATTCAATGTTCCGGATGATTGTCTTATTTTGGATTAATTTTTGAAAAAAAATGATTTAAGCTCACTAATAATTTCATTATCATAAGCAGCTAGTTCATTCTTTACTGAATTACTTCCCTCATTCCTTTGAAGAACCACAGCTCCATTTCCAGTCGAAAAAATGGAGAGAATGCAAAGTATTATTGGCAGGGTTTTCACCATTTTTGAATAAGAATATTGTTGTTTTTGATGGTAGAAATTTGTTGGAGAAAACCGTTGCAGTCTTGAGATTTTGTTTTTGTTGCAACTCGAAAACATCTTAAAAACTTGGAATATTAAACTTGATTACAATCATATAAAAATAAAGCTTGGAAACATTTTAAGATCAAACTTGAAAAAAGTTTAAGTTCAAATTGAAAAATTTTTCAAGTTTAAACTTGAAAATAAGGTTGAAACTTTAATTTTTAAGTCTAAGCTTGAGAAAAAGTTTCAAACTTAAATTTTTAAGTTTAAACTTGAAAACTAGTTTAAAACTTTAATTTTAAGCTTAAACTTAAAAAAAGATTAATTCTCAAGTTTAAACTTAAAAAAAGATTAAATTCAAGTTTATATTTGTTTTTAAGTTTAAACTTAAAAACCTCGCAAATTAAACGTTAAAAAACATAACATCAGACTTGAAAAATTAAGAAATCTAAATTTAAGTTTAAACTTGAAACTTAAGAGGCTATTGAAATTAATTTCAAAATTATTAAAAAATATTTCCACAAAATATTTTCATAAAAACAAACCGATAGCAATATTTGTTTGACAAAATTAGTTAAGCTCGTTTTGGGCTGTTTAAAAGTTTCATTTCTTTCTCCAGGTAATGTATTCATTTTAAAAAATTATTATTGAAATATTAATGCTAGTTATATGCTGCTTAATATTTTGTTTAATGAATAAATTTTTTATTTTATTTTTTGAAACAATTCTTAAATTATTAAAATTATTCAGAAAATATAAACTTGGATAAGCTGATTTTGTTAGTGCATGATTTTAAGCTTGTGAATTCGATTAAGTTTTTAAGTTTGTGAAGTTTGTTAAGCGTTCTCGATTTTTTTTATGATATATAAAAATTTTTTTCCAAAAAATTTTTTTAATTTTCAAGAAAAATATTTTCCTAAAAATATTTTAGAAAAAAAAATTATTTAAAAATAATTATTTTACAACTGACACAAATAAATGACAAACTAAAGCAATTTTAACGGACTTAAATGAGTGTCTTCCAAAATATTTTGAAGGTTAACTTGTGTGTTAATCCTTTTAGTAAATTTATTTTTGAAAAAAATATTTTTGTTGCGTTCTATTAAAAATATTTGGAACTCAAAATTAGTTGAAATTAAGGAAAAAATATTTTTTGGAGTTTATCAAAATAAGAGCATTTTTGTCTATTTAATTTTTCTATTATGCTCGATTAGTGTTGGCTACTGGAAAATTTTTTTTGAATTTTATTTAAAGAGTGTCAAGGCAAAATAATTATATTATAATAGGAAAAAGGGGAGGGATTTGAGTTGTTTTTGAACATAAATGCAACTTTTCTTATTTGTCTCTTTCAAAGAATTTAATGGGATTTATGAGGATACAAGTGAGATGATGACAGATATTTACTAGATTCGACAGGTTAGAAAAGTTGGACATAATTTTTATTTAGTAAATGTTTATAATCGTTGAATCCTTTAACCATTCCAAACTAGTGTTTGGAATGGAAATTTAACCGGAGCCGGAACCAGATCTAATTTTTGGTTCGAAAATCCCGGAACTTCCGGCCTAACGGAAATGAAACTTCCGACGAAGCTCTATTCAAAACACACCATATTAAAGATCTATAACAGCTCCAACCTATTTTGGGCCTCTTCCACTATCGAAAAATTATTTTTTTTTCTCACAAATGTTTTATCTCAAGTCTGTCTTATCGCATGCCATTGCCAATATCCAAGGAAAATTTTTTAAGAGTACTAATTTTTAAGAGTACCTCAGACCTTATATCTTAATTAGGGTTGCCGTTTTCGAACCGGGCCGACATTCGAGTCATTTTTCGAACCTCTTTTTTTCAAACCGGGCCGTTCATCTCTTTTTCGGGCCAAAATTCGATGCCCAATTCAATCTATAAAACCGAACCGGGCCGGCAATCCTAATCTTAATGTAAGCTAGGAGCCTGAAGACTTCTTTGTAGTATAGCTCGAAATAGCTAGTTAAACTAAAGTTAAAAAGGCATCTAGAAGCAAGTGTGTTTTTACCTCAAACTCTTCCTCTCCCTCCAAATTTTTTTTTATTTTTTAGTTTGTGAGGAAATAAAAAATATTTTTTAAAGGAAAAATGGTTGCGCAAAGTTGGAAGTTTCAAGGCAAAATATTTTTAGGTGGGGAATAAAAGAAAAATAAAATAAGCAGGTAATTTAGGTTTTGAAGAGTGAAGGGCACTAACTTATACAATAAAATAAATTTGAGGGTTTTTCTTTGATTTTTGGACAATTTTTAAAGAATAGTTTGACAATGGGATAACCTTGAACTGTGGTTTTTAATATTTTTAGGAAAATTAAAATTTCAAAAACAAATTTTTACAGGTTAATTGGTTACTAATACATGCTGACTGTTATCTGCCTTTGTATAAGCCAGTAGCCCGTGATTATTAGGATATCCAATGATGCCTAGATTAGTGATAGGATAATTAATAGAGTAATCTATTTTTGAGCTAATCTGCCCTACTCCTAATTTATTTGGCCTTTTTTCAGTTAACAAGGGTACCTAAACTTGGTTTAATTAAATATTTGGTGGGCAATGAAGATACCTTTAGCATCAGATAAAATCTCTGTGGTTTCAGAGAGTTTTCTCTACGAGAATAAAAACGAATAATAATTAAATATCTCTCAAACTTTGTCAGAAAGGCCAGGAAATGAAAGAATAAAAAGAATTTTCTTTCTGATCTAAGCAAAAATGGATTTATAGATGTAAAGGTACGGGAGGCGTTATTCGCACTGGGTGGGCGGCATATATTCTTGAGCATGATGCACTACAAATTTGGATGAAAATTAAAGGACATGGGGGTTTTTATGAAGGGAATAAACATTCCTTTTCTTTCATTAAATAAAAAACAGCCTAGAACTAATCATATTGGATTAACAGGTCTGTGCTCTCGAGAAGGACCAAGTGGACTAATAAATTGTTTATTAGTCTAGGAATAAGTTTTCGATCAAAATACTTCAATATTTAAATTCTCCACTCATTTTTACATATTTTGACCAAATTTGAGCTTTTTTGGTCAAAAAATAAATTATTTACATTAATTTGTATAGACCTAGGTCAAATATAGGAATATACAAAAAATAAAATAAAAAATAAAATAAAATGCCAATTTTCATTGGTATTGTTTAAAATACTTTTGAATAGGTTCATTCTTGCAAACAGAGCAAAAAGAGACTTTTTATTATCCATTTTTTGTGTAAAAAGACACAATTTGCATGTGACGCTCTCTACAGAGTACCCCCACCCCTCCGAAGGGAACAGGTGAATAGAAAAAATTATAATGAATGCCGCGAGAATGCCAAGAGATTGAAAAGAAAAGATAACTAAGGGTCAAGACCACCGCAATATATTTTGCTATTGAAGGATAATAGTTTTTGGGCATAAGTGGAAGGTCAAGCAATTTGGAATATAAGGGGAACAGGTGAGAGGTAGGGGAAAATTAATAAAAAAATAATAAAAAAATGAATTAAAAATTACTCGGAAATTGAGAGTCTCAGCATGATAACGAACACATTTTTAAAAATAAAATTGGATTTTTAATGAATTAGGTAGTCTCCAATTACTTTTAAATTAAACCAAGTTTACAAGGTTAATCACTTTACAAAACCTTTTTAGAAAAAAATTTAATTTAACGACTAAAAGTAAATTAAAATTCCTAAGGTTTTTTTAATATAATCCCTCTCGAATGGAGCATCCTCTTTCGAAAGGACAGAATACCCCCTCCGAACGGAACAAACTCTTTCGAAGAGAACATCTCCCTCCTAAGAAGACATATCCCTCTTAAGGGGACATATCCTTCCGAGGGGGCATACCCCTCCGACAGGGATCATGACCCTCCGAAGAGAACATAACCCTTCAAAGGAGACATATCCCTTCTATGAGGATATAACCTTCCTAGGGGGCATGGCTCCGGTACAAAATATGGAATCGTTAAAATATGGAATGGTTAAAATCGCGAATAGGCTAAAAAGGGGTTAAAATACCGAATCGTTAAAATATGGAATCGTTAAAATATCGAATCGGGTAAAAAAGGGTTAAAATATGGAATCGTTAAAATATGGAATGGTTAAAATGTCGACACGGCCAAAATGGGTCAAAATGTCGAATTCTTTTAAAAAAGGGTCAGATGAGTGCCATACATTGATTGTTGATAAATTTATCAACTTATTTTTGATAATTTGATTGATAAGTCTCGTATGTCATAGTCCGGCGTAATCTTTTCTGCCTGAGTTCACTGTATTTTACCGAGTAAAATCGGACCGTATAAATCAAGCATAATCGACCGGATCCGGTCCGGCATGATCGTACGGATCCGGAAAACACAACAGGATCCTGATACGGAAAAATTAGAGTGGCGTCACTAGTTTTTAATTAAGACCTAAATTTTGTACCTTACCGTATACGGTACGGAATATCGAAAAATAACGGTCAGCTTTTAAATTTTATCGGTCGGCATTCCATATCGTACTACCGACACGGAATACCGAAAAATACCGTCGGTATTACGGTAACGCCCGGATTTTAGGTTTTGGCGCCATTTTTAAAAAAATTCGACATTTTGACCCATTTTGACCGTGTCGACATTTTATCAATTCGATATTTTAACGATTCCATATTTTAACCCTTTTTTACCCGATTCGATATTTTAACCATTCCATATTTTAACGATTCCACATTTTAACCCCTTTTTAGCCTATTCGCGATTTTAACCCATTTTTACCCGATTCGAGATTTTAACCCTTTTTTAGCCTATTCCATATTTTAACGATTCGATATTTTGTCCGGACACGGGGGGCATACCCCTCCGACAGGGACCATAACCCTCCGAAGAGAACGTTGAAGTAGGTAAAAAATTTTTTAATAAAAAAAAATAAAAAAATTCTTGACCTATAATATACTAAATTGGATTAATTTAAAAGTCATTCCACTCATTTAAAATTTATTTTGCCAAAAAACTAAATTAGTACCAGCTATTTGTCTATTTCCCCTCTTTTTTCACTCAATTAATCCCATTTTTCTTGACCTTGAATTTTTTGTAAAATCCTCTTGGAAGTTGCTGGCAGAAGAGAAAAGAATTTAAAAATAGATCAAGTCAAAAGAATGAAAAAATACAAAAGGTATAGACTAAAAAATAATTTTTTGTGAGAGCATGTAAGTGTGGGGGTGTGAGAACAATAGGTGGAATAAAAAAAATTTTGAGGAAAAAATGTTGTTAGGAAAAGGTTTAAAGTAATTAGTATAATGGTCCCAACCTGTAGACAAGAATGGGACAAGCTTAGAAAAAATAGGGAGGGATTGCAAAAATTTCCTCTGGATCGAGTTTCGAGTAACCTAACCCATCTCTGTTGTAGAAAAGCAGTTTCCATAGGAAAATTGAGGAGAGATTCAAGCTCTATCTCACTTTATTTTTGGGATAGATTTTGCCTAAATCCCATAAAAAATACTCAAAACCGATCCAATAAATGGGCTTATTTTCCATATAAATCCTAAGGTATGGGACACAATATCTCCCCAAAATGGTCCAATATTTACCTTTAGATCAATTTTTCTATAGAATTTTTTGGGTATTTTTTACATTTAAATAGAAAAAAGTGTTAGATTGTGCCTCTCTACTAGGAAATCCGTCTAAGGAACAAAAATAAGAAAAGAATTGAAAATAACAATTCCTCCAAAACTTTCAGGAGGATGAGACTGACCTTCAAGAAGAAACAAACCGCAGAACAACAAAAGAGGAAGAGGAAGGATAGTAAAATAAAGGAAGAGAAGTTTTTTGTTAAAAATTTTGAGTTGAGGGGAATATATTAGAAAAATAAAAGAGAGGAAAAAGATTTTTTTGAGTAAATATTAAAATAAAAAAAATTTTTTTAATATTAAAAATTAATTTTCAGAAAAAAAAGGTGTCAGTTAGCTTACCCAATTATTCGCAGTTTATAGAGGAAATTAATATATCCGGAAAATAAATTCCGGAAAAATAAAATAAACCAGAATTAAAAATAATTAATTTTTCCGGAAAATACATGTCTAATTTATAAACCAGAATTTAATATATAATATTCTGAATAAAAAATCAGAATATATGTATAAATAATTATTTTTCCTGAATAGTTTTCCGGAAAATTCTTTTTTAACATTCCTATTTTATTTCCGAAAATTTAAATAGAAAAGAATTTCAGGAAAATAAAAATTTCCGGAAAAGAAAGATTCCGGAAAATGAATTAATTAACTAATATATTCTGGTTTTAACCGGAAAGTAAGCGAAAAGAATAAATTCCGGAAAAATACTACAATAAACCAGAATTTTTGTTTATTTGCCCTTTCTCTCCCATTTAAAAATTCTATTAATTAATAATTTCCATTAAAAAAATTTTTTTTATTTTATTTTTTTATAAAAATAAAATATTTGCCTATATTTTCAACAAAAAAATAATTTCTCGAAGTAACAAAAGGCAATAGGAAATTTATAAAAAAAAATTGAATAAAAGAAAAAAATTGAGGAAATGTGGGGCGTGAAGAACAAATTGAAGAAGCAAAAATTTGTTTTATTAATAATTATAAAATAAATACAAGGGCAAAACCCGAAAACTATCCTCATTCAAAACACAATTTTCGTGGAGTACAAGAAATAATAATAATAATTTTTAAAGATCAAGAAAAGTGTCTGTTAGCTGCCCCATCTAATCGCAAAGGTATATTAGTTAAGGTTCGTAGTTGATATACTGATAAAAAGGTGAGTCAGTCAACAGGTTTATTTGGTCAACCTAGAATATTACTATAGATTCTATAATTTCAGAAATTCCTAAAAAAACTCTAGAAAGTGATGGTTATCGCTCGGTTCGGCCCGCTTCGATAGATCAAATCGGGCATCAAATTTTGACCCGAAAAAGACTCTAACGTCGGTTAGATAAAATCGAGGCCCGGCAAATGTCGAGAAAAAATGATTCGAACGTCGGCCCGGTTCGAAAACGGCAACCCTAATCAGGATGCCCAGACAGGGACAAAACTGGAGCTTTATAGACACAGATTAAATGAATTAAATAAATTATTTGAGAGAGTATCCAGTGTGATATTTTAAAAATATCCCTGGGCTATCTAAATTAATTTTTAATTTTGAAAAAAAAATTTTTACTTGGACTTGAAAAAATTTATTTAAAAGAAATTTTTTCCTGCGAATAAATGGACTTTTCCCCTACCTTTAACTACCTACCTTTAATAATAAAAAAAAATAACTGTATCAAAAATAATTTAAAATTAATAAAAAAAAATTAATTATAGAGGGAAGAAAATAAAAAAAAATAAAAAAAGGAAGAGGAAATTGAAGATGAAGAAGAGTAACTGAGGGGAAGGGTAATTTAATAATTCGGTCGGTTTATTGAGGGCAACGGTGTTATTTTCTGTTGGGAAAACTCGAAAAAAAATTTTTTTTTAATTTTTTAAATTAATTTTAGTGGGAGGGGGATTAATTTGATTTTGGAGAGGACTAGTCTATATTAAAATTAGAAAAAATATATGGGATAAATTAATTTTAGGAAAAATAAAATTGGGGGGCAATTCATAGACGAGGGATTTAAAGAGTAATAAATCAGTGAAAATTCAAAAAAAAATTTTTTTTTTGAATTTTAAAAATTTAGAGAATTTGGAAGTGTGTGGCTTGATAGTTTAGAGGTCTATTAATAATTTTAAAAAATCGAGAACTTAATTCCTCACACAATTTTTTGGACCCAAAATAATGAAAATACACATAGGCGACGTTCATTACCTCGTAAGCTTTTTATTTTTAAATTATTTCCAAAAATTATTTTTTTAATAAAAATAAAATTAGAAAATCTAAGAATTAAAGGATGCCCTAAATAATATTTTAAAAAATTTCCTATTTAAATAATAAAATTTTTTAAGCATTTTTATTTGACCAAAACCCCCTTTATTTGTAAATAATAAAAATTATACCGATGCTTTGACCATTCTCACTTAACAAATAAAAAATTAAGAGATGAAAAAACGGCCAAAATGTGTTTTACAAGCAAGAAATGATTGAATAAAATAAATCAAATAATTTTTTTTGGGAAAAACATTGTTGAGCAAAAAAATCTAGCAAAATTTAGCCTAAAGAAAGAAGCCATTTAATCGCCCAAAATTTTGATAAAAATTAGTTATTTTTAGAGATCGGACCGTACCGTACTACGGCCGTATTTTTCGGTATTTATCGGTATTACAGTCGGTAATACGGTACGGAATACGGTACGGAACAAAATTCCGATCTCTAGTTATTTTCCTTTAAGTCTGTCTTTTCTAGAAATATAGGAGTTTTAAGCCTATTTTAGTCAAAAAATCATAGACTTGGAAATATTACACCAAAAATTTTGAAACTTATAGAGAATCTAGGTAAGACTATTACCTAGCTCTACACAAAATTTTAGATTAATAGGTACACAATAAAATTAGTTATTTCTCTTGAGGTCTACTTAGTTTAAAAATGTAGGGTTTTAAGCCTATTTTAGTCAAAAAATCATAACTTTAAAAATATCCAACCAAAAATTTTAAAATTTATAGAGAATCTAGTTGAGACTATTAGCCATACCCAAACAAAATTTTAGATTAATAAGTCCCCAATAAAATTTGTTATTTCTCTTGAGGTCTACTTAGTTTAAAAATGTAGGGTTTTAAACCTATTTCAGTTAAAAAATCATAACCTTGGAAATATTTAAGTAAAATCTTTGAAATTTTTAGAGAAACTAGTTGAGACTATTAGCTAGCTATGGACAAAATTTTAAATTAATAGGTCCCCAATAAAATTTGTTATTTTAATTTTCGCGCACCAAGAGTCCTCTCTCCCCACAAATAAAGGAATAAATAAATTTTAGTCAAAAATTCATAACCTTGGAAATATCTAACTAAAAATTTTGAAACTTATAGAGATTCTAGAAGTAACTATTACCTAGCTCTTTGCAAAATTTCAGTTTAATAGGTCCCCAACAAAATTAGTTATTTTAATTTCCGCGCACCATGTACTCCCTCACACACTCCCCCCTACAAATAAAGAAATAAATATTAAAAATTAAAGGAAATAAATTTATAAAAGAATAATTTTATAGGCTAATAATGTGTTTCTTTAAAACCTCAAAATTGTGTAATATTTTAACAAAAAAAGTTTAAGACCGCCCATTGACCATCAAAAATTAAAAAATATTTATTTAAAAGTTGCGCGCGTTTTTTAGCCTTTTTCCGGAAGAATAAGCACAAAAAAGGGGCAAACTTTTAATTGAATTTTTTCTTCTCTTTAGCACTTTTCTTTGTAAAAAGGCCAAAAAATAAGAAAAAATTGAGAATCGGAGAGATATTGGTCAATGAGAAGGGAGAGGGGGTGACCCATTTATTCGCAGGCATTTAACTGTGGATAGGTAAAGGTGAGTGAGGGAGACTTTGGAGTGTATAACTCAGGAACGGAAAGGCCTTTCTGGATAAATTTGGTACCTTTGGATAGAGGAGAAGGTTTGCTACTAGATTTCCAATTTTTATATTTTTTGATTCATGAGTAATAAAGTTATGGTCAAAAATAACACAAAAAATTTACTTGTCTAGGTATGATAACATTATTTGACCGATAGGTGATATAAAAGAGAGAGAGTGGGATATTGCAAGATTTAATAGTGGATCAAAGGGTGACTAACCCGGGTGAATTAACCCTTAAATCTAATGTAGGGATTTAGGGAGTGGCGTGCAATCGGGTGATCGGGTGACCGCTAATCGGGTGACTTAACACTTGAATTTATTGTAGGGACCCAGGGAGTGGCGTGTTACTGATACCCGAACCCCAGGCGAAACTCGCTCCGAGGAAAAAAATTTTTTGAAAACGCGATTCGAAATCTTGCCACTTTTTTTCTCAACATAAAATAATATTTTTAAATATATGTATTAGTGTTGCGAATATATGGGCATATTGTATTGTGTAATTTAAAGTTGAAAAAAAAATTTGTTTTTAATGTTTGCCAATTTTTTGTTGGGAATCAGGGCGTGCTTTTATTTAAATAAACTTTTTTTTCTCAAAAGTTGGTCATTTCTTTATATATTGCTTTCCCGCTTTTGTAAAAGGGCAAAGATGTAATGGGAAAAGTCTGGGCCTTTTTTAATAAAAATTTAATTTAGGGAATGTCAAGGTTATAAAAATAGTACAAAAATATTACAATATTTATTTTTGGAAAGGAAAAATTATTTAAAAAATTGAAAAAATTATTCGATTGAATATACTAGTAAAAGATGATTAGAATAATTAGGGTCCATATTTTCAGGAAAAGAATTTTTCAAAATAGGTGGGGAACTAGGAACGAAAAATACCAATTTTTGTGGGTAAATCTGGGTATTTCTGAGGGTATTTCTGTAGGTAGTTGTGGGAGTAGACCTTGAGGAGTTCAGTGTTGGGGAGTTCCTAGACCTCGGAGAGTTCAGGAAATAATAGAAAGAAACCTGAAAATCTGGTTCCTACTTAGAATAATCAACAACAAATAAATGCCCCATTTAGCCTGAGTCATTTAAAAAAGTTTGTGAAAGTGAAAGAATTACAATTGTAATTTAAAAAAGATTTAATTATTCAGCACAAGTTTTACAACCTTTTTTCAAGTTTTTCCGGTTGGAATTCTGATTGGAAATTGGAATTCTGATTGAACAATTCTGATTGGAAAGGAAATGAGAGAAATCAGAATTTGTAATAATCATAATAATCAGAACAAGTTTTACAATTTGTTTTCCGGTTTTTTCCGGATTGTATTTCTGATTTATTCAAGTTTACAATTCAAGTTGGAAAAAAATATGGGAAAATCAGAATTTGTAAAGATCAGAAGAAATTAGTAAATGAATTTTACAAATCAGAAATTGGTATTACAATTGTAAAAGGCTTAATTATAATTATCAAAACAAACAAGTTTTACAATTTATTCGAGTTTTAGGTTTTTCCGGATTGTATTTCTGATTTATTTTAATGTTTACAATTCAAGTTGGAAACGAAATATGGGAAAATCAGAATTTCTTCCCAGAAAACTAAAAAATAAATTTTAAAAAAATCAGAAATCGATAGAGAATTAAAATTTTTTATTTAATTTATTTAAGAAAATATTCTAAAAATTCTTTTGTATAAATCTAAATAATAATACAAAAAGGATTAGAGTAATGTGCAAACAGGTGAAACTTAAAAGGGGCTAAGTGGTTAATATATTCAGATAAAAATACTTAAAAAAATATTTTTTGAAAGGGAGAGAAAGATGAACATTTATATAAAGCTTCTAATTTTAGTATAGAATTTTATTGTAAATGTTGGAAGAAAAAATTTTTGGAGAGAAAGTTTTTGAAAGAAGGGAAGAAATCTGTGGTTAATTTTATAATGTAAATTTTATAAAAAAGTTTAGATTGTAAAAATCAGAATAAAAGTAAGTTTGTAAGTTGTTTTTTGGTGTATCCCTGATTGTGAGATTCGAGTTTGCAATTCAAGTTGGAGAGAGCAAAATCAGAATAGTTATGTTCGCTGTTCCGGAAGGTGTTTCTGATGCAATACAAGTTTGATAATACCTACTTCAAGTTAAAAGTTATAATTTAAACTTAGAATTAAAGTTGAAATATGTATGAAAGGATTTTAATCGCAACCGGAAAAATGAATAATTTAATTTCGGAAAACAATATTTAACTGAGAATACCGTATTTGCTCTATTAATCCCCCAGTCTTTATTAATCCCCCAGGCTCTATTAATCCCCCACCCTGGGGATGGGTTGAAACAATAATCCCCCTGGGGGATTAATAGAGCAAATACGGTATATATTCCCATTTCCGGAATTTAATTTTCCGGAATTTAATTATTCCCAATTTCCGGTTGCGATTACAATCCGGAATGTATAAAGTTTCCTATTTTCCCGTTTCTTCTCAACTTTTCCGGATTACTCTTTTTACAACTCTATTTTCTATTTTACAACCGGATTGTATTTTTTACTTCTCTAACTAAAATTATTTTCGATTTCCTCCTTCCAGTTTTTTTTATTAAATAAACTTGAATGTAATGTGACACCACTGAACAGTAGAGTAAATTTCATTGGCAAACAGCTAGCTACCTTGAAAAAATTATTTTTAATAAAAAAAATAATTATTTTGTTTTAATTTTGCTTTTCTTCTTGCCAGTCGTTCCCCTCATTTTCAACTAAAAAATAATACGATTATCGACTCTTCTTCCAAAATTGATAGCGGGGAATGTTGATGTTTGTAACAATGCTTTAATAAAAAAGAAAAGAGAATTTCCGGTTATTTTTGGAAAAAAAGAGGAGGAGGAAATTGAGCTGGTCCCTAAACCTCTTCCTCCCTTCTATCTATTTTAATTCATTTTTTTCATTCAATTTTTTATCTTTACTAAAATTTATTAAAAATGGGACCAATGTCGCCAACTTAAATTTAATTTTATTAAAAAACGATGAAAGCCCTGTTAAATGCCAATTAGATTTAACTCAAGTGAGCATCTCCAAGGGAGGTCTTCAAAGGGAGGTTTTCCAAGAGAGGCTCTAAGGGAGGTCTTCCAAGGGAGGTCTCTCTAGTGGAGGTCTTCCAAGGGAGGTCTTCCAATGGAGGTCTTCCAAGGGAAGTCTTCCATGGGAGGTTTTCCAAGGGACACTCCAATGAAGGTCTCTCAAGGGGAGGTCTTTTTTAAATTTTTGAATTTTTCAGGTCTGAGGAGCTCCCAACTCGCCTAGGTCTAAATCCATACGGGAGAGCGAACTCGAGGATAGCTCGAGGTTCGAGATCGATATCTTGGGAAATATCGAACTCGAACCCGGTGTTCGTCGAAACCATGAATGAGACTCATCGCTATATCTCCCTATCCAAGACTCGAGCTAGGTCTAATTTTAATTCAGCTTAAAAATATCTAATTAGGAACTAAATTGTTTCCAATTTTTCTATTTTATTATTCTTCCTCCTTCCGCTTGACCGATAATAAATTTTATTTTTCTCTAAATTTGAAAACAAGAAAGCTTAAATGACTCAAGTTTAACTAGGCCTTAATGTTTCTGATGATTATTTTCATTGTGAGGGAGAGACAGGCGCTTCCTGGCAAATGAGTTTCTTTTTGAGTTCCCTAGGGTACTCAACCTTTTTGTTATTCTAGCTTATCTAAACTATAAATTGCTTGACTATTTTTATGTCATTTTTCATTTATTTTTTTTATTATCAACTTCCTTTTTGGCTTTAATTTTGTTTTTAACTAGGGAAATAATTACTCAAATAATTGGACACAAATAACGACCTAAATGCAAAAAATACCCCTTAAAATTAAAATATAAAATTTAGAATGGGTAAGAATATCATGGGACTAAGTCGCTGGAAGAGATCAAGTTTCTAGGCTTAAAAATGGACTTAGTCCTATCCACGGTGGTTCTATTCCATGACCCTTCCAATGAATGATAATCTAGTCTCTACCTTGCTCTTGAGGTACAAATACAAGAAAAAACGGCCAAAACTAGGGTTGGTAGTACGAATACGAGTAGGGTCGTCGGTTTTTGGGAAGATCTTCGGATATCCGTTTATTGTCTTAAAAATAGAGTTAAAAAAATGAAATAGAGTCTCCCTTCCAATGAATGATAATCTAGTCTCTACCTTGCTCTTGAGGTACAAATACAAGAAAAAACGGCCAAAACTAGGGTTGGTAGTACGAATACGAGTAGGGTCGTCGGTTTTTGGGAAGATCTTCGGATATCCGTTTATTGTCTTAAAAATAGAGTTAAAAAAATGAAATAGAGTCTCCCTTCCAATGAATGATAATCTAGTCTCTACCATGTTCTTGAGGGACGAATACAAGAAAAAACGGCCAAAAATAGGATTGGTACTACGAATACAAGTAAGGCTGTCGGTTCTTGGAAAACCTTCGGATATCCGGGACCTGATAAAAAAACATTGGTTCTTCGAATCAGTTCCGACTGGCACACTAATTACAAGCAAAATCGGAACTTCCCAAGCGCATTTTCAAGGAAGGGTTCTGAACCAACGCCTAGTTACAAGCAATATCGGAACTTCCAAGCTCAATTCCAAGATCAACGTCCAAAATTATTGGCTAATTTCTGGGATGATTTTTTCAGCCTATACTTTAACAATTTTTTATTTTGTTAATATGTAAATGCACTTTTCCTATTCTTCTTTTTTCATTAATTTAATTAATCTCGCCTCAAAATTCAAACAAAAAATGAAAAATTTACAGCGTTTCTAAATAACATTTTCACCCAAAACGCTTTCAGTTCTCCCCCTTTACCTCCCTTTCTCTCCCTTTCTCTCCCTTAACAAAGTTAATTTTATATTTTTTTCGCCTCGGTTGTCAACAAAATTGAATTATAAACGAAGAAAAGCTTCAATTTCCTTAAAAAGTACATAATCTCCCTTTACAAAAAAATTTTTTTGGCAAGAAAAACGTCAATAATACCTATCCTTTTTTTTATTTTTTTTTTCGAATTTTATTTTTATATTTTCACAGCTGTTCGCGGCACAAACAAAAAAATTTTTAGAGAGGGGAGTGAGTCTCTTGGGTGGTAATTGTGGCTTTTATTAAAGGTATAGAGAGAGGAGGGGAGAAAGAATAATAATAATCTCGGTCGTCATGTCAACAAGAATTTTTTTTATTTTTTTTTATTTTCTAACTATCATTCACGGTTATTCAATTGTTGGGGGGCTGCCTTGTTTAGTTTTTAGAAAGTGAATTTTTTATTAAAATCAAATCCATGTTAAAGGGACTGATTAAACCACACTTGACTGTGAAGGTCGATTTAACCATGAATTAATTATCAGATTTCCGATTCCAATTTCCGAGTTCCAACTTTTGAGCAGTTCCGATTTCCGGCTCTTCCGATTTCTGATACCTCTGTTCCGACCCACCTCTGATCATTATACATCAGAGATCTACCGCTCCCGCCTTCCATTGTCCACAGAATTCTAGCTTTTTTGCCCCATCCGTTCCGGGTTCTTTTGCCTCTTTTTAAAATGTGGCAGGGCCTATTTCTGATACCTACCAACCTGTCATTCCACATGACTCTTGACTTTGAACATCAAGAATTTACTATATGTTTTTCTCCATATTAATCATTTTTTGACTCATCTCACTGAAGAAATGTCTATTATATATTACAGAAAATTTTAATTAAGATGATACCCTTTAGCTCTGATAAAATTCTGATTTATTCCTCAGTATCCTCCCCTCAGAATTTAATTACTAAAATTAAAGCCTCTTAATAATTTTAATTTATTTAATCCTCTTAATTCATAATCCTCTTAATATTCAAAAATTATTTGTTTTTAACTAATGTTTAATTTCCCAACTGATAACTAATTAAAACATAAAAACATCCCCTTAGCGACTGGTGCAACCTTCCACTACCATTTAAATTGTTAAATCATTCCTTGCCTCTCCCCAATTATTTAATGCCTATGGCGGGAATCAATCGAGAGTTGTTGTCGCGCACGTCTAATTTTTCGCATTCACAATTTTCTCTGTTTTAAAGGGAGAAAAATTTTTTATTTTATTTATTAGTTTACGGCAGGTGGTATAAAAATATTCGGAGTTGTAAACATCCAAAAATGCGGTGGGTAAAGTGTTGCGGCCGTTCTACGACGGGTGGTGGTTGCGTGTGACAGACACACTGACTAGTAGAAAATGAATGAAAATAAGAGTTTATCCTTTAAGATAATCAGAAACTTTTAATTTACAAATTGTAAATTTAATTTTACAAATTATAAAACTTTTTTACAAATACAATTAATATTACAAATTGTAATCAAGTTTGAATTGAAATCCCAATTTTTACAAACCAGAAAAGGTTGGGATTGTAATTATAATACAATCTCCCTTTTATTTATTCCAACCTTTTTTACAATTGTAAACAAGATTGAATTGTAATTTGGATCTTTCAGCCTGTTTTTACAATTCAGAAAAGGCTGGAATTGCAATAATTACAATTTGTAATTTCAACCTTTTTTTACAATTTAGAAAAGGTTGGAATTTACAATAAGGTTGGAAATTACAAATTGTATTTTTAAATTTTCAACTTTTTTACAGTTCAGAAAAGTTGGACCTGCAATATTTACAATTTGTAAATTTCAGCCTTTTTTACAATTCAAAAAAAGGTTGGAAATTACAAATTGTAAATTGCAGGTCCAACTTTTTTTTGAACTGTAAAAAAAGGTTGGAAACTTCAAATTACAATTGTAAATCTTTTTTCAAACCTTTTTTACAATTCAGAAAAGGTTGGAATTTTTACAATTTTCCTCTTATTCATTCCAACCTTTCCCCTCCCTATTCAATACCCATCACAACCTATTTAAATAATACCCCTTCCCCCATTGTTAATTCACGCAATTTTCTCTCACTCCCAGCTTCCGCCACACATTATTATATTTTTATTTATTTGACAGCTCCGTCATTTGTTGTTATTTTCCTTTTTTCATTTTCTAAACTTTCCTCTCCTATTGAAAAAAAAAATTTTTAGGGGCGAACAAAATAATTTAATTTGCGTCTTCAAGTATTTTAGAAAGAGTAGAACCAAAACCAAAAATATTTTTATACAATTTTTTTTCTATTTTTCTATCCTTCATTCTTATTACAATTATTTTAACGTCAAAAATTGTAAAAATAATATAAAAATTTTTTTTTTAATTTTATTTTTACTTAATATTAAATATTTTATTTTTTAATAAAAAATTTTTTTAATTAAATTTTTAATTGAAATATTTTTTAATTTTAAATCATTTTTAATTTATTCTAAACATTGTTGAAATATGTATTCGCTTTCTCTCTCTCTTCTCTCTCATTGAAGTCCTCCTCGGAGTCTCTCTTTTCCTTAGAGCTCTTAGTAAATTAGAGCTTGATCCAAGACAATATCTTGTTCAGGTATCCATCTCCAATTTTAAGAGATTGATAGCTCTCTCTCGAACTTTGTACGGTACCAAATACAATGCTTATTTTATCTTAGTCCTTTCCCTATTCAACGTAAAACAGCCACTAACTACTCTTTTTTTAATTAAGGCTAAAAATCTTTAATCATTCTAATATGAAAATAAAAATATTTTTGGTTTCACGCAAACCTTTCCGCATTTTTTTTTTCTATTTTTTTGTTAAACGACTAGAAACCGCCTCATTAAAGCAACATATAAATATTTACCACAAAATAGGAAACCTGTTTTTTTAACAAAAATAAATTTTGTGTCTCCATGGATTTGTGTCTCCATGGATTTATTGTTATCATCACACTTCAACCATTTATACCGCTTTTAACATTGTCGGTCTTTCTAGTTTAATTTTAGTAAATTACCTATGTAATCCTTGGACATTAATTTGTTTTGTTAGCCCTATTGGATAGTTCGATCGAGGTTGCAAAATTCGGTTTGAAGAAACAAAAAGGCTGTCTGTTTTAATTTATTAATTCTTTTTTTAATTGATTTTAAAATTATTAATTTCCAGCTTATGTAAACTAAATTTATTGACAACCGCCCCTCGCTCCCCTCTCTCAACAAACTTGAGTTTAAACCAAAAAATAAAATTTCCATTCATTCCAACTCCTAAAAATTTTTATAAAAATATTCCAAAATACAATAGAAAATAAAAATTTTTTTCTTCCTTTTTTCTCTTCACTCTTCAACCAGATAAGTGCCCTCATCAACATTTTTATTGTTATAGTATTGTCACAAACTTGCCCACATTCTCCCCCCACCCCCATATTTTCCCTCAATTTTAAACAAAATTGTAAAACAATTTTTGGTTTTTTCTTTTTTTTTATTCAAAAAAGACGCAAAAAAACTTTCAAAATTCTTTCTAAATTTAATTTTCTTTTCAATTTTTTCTGTAAATTCTGAAGGAAAATTGAATGAAATGACATTGGTGTAGCAAGAAAAAAAATTTTTCTTTTTAAATTTAATTTAACTTTTATTTTTTTCTTTTTTTATTTTTTGTTTGTGAAGACAGTTCTCTTTTACTTTTCTCCAAAATCTTCAAAAAAATGTCATTTTATTGTGCCTAAAACCAGTCTAAATTGAATCCCCTCCCTAATAATCTAATTAGACCTCATCTTGTTACAGCCACCATAACTCTAAGTTAAGTAGACCTTTTTAAAAGCTCTAAGTACTATTGGATAGAAGATAAAATTCTCTACAAATTTAAGCTATAAATTTAATTTTAGATTCGTGGATTAGAAAGATATGGCTCAAAAACCTCAGAAAATTAGTCAATTTCATTGTGTTTTGACCATAACTTTTGTTCCTTTGAACTTAGAATATTGCTTGTTATATCATTTTATAGCAAATTTTTCCCTTTATCGAATGATCCAAAAATCTCTTTAAAAAAGTTTATCCGTTCATAAGTTATAGAATTTTAACTGTAGTGATGTAAGTGTTTACTCTCGATTAATTTAAGGCAGGGCTCCGATTCGTACTTTTTTAAAAGTATTGTACTTTTTTATCACCCTTCGTACTTCCGAAATTGAATTTGTACTTTTTTGAAAGTATGTACTTTTTTATCAACATTTTTGAAAAAACGAAGAAATCTGGCTTAAGGACCTCCAAAATTCTCAAAATTTTCGCCTGCGGCGCAAAAAATGGAAGAAATCTGGCTTAAGGACCTCCAAAATTCTCAAATTTTCGCCTGCGGCGCAAAAAATGAAAGAAATCTGGCTTCTTAGGCTCCAAATTTCAAAAAATTTTCGCCTGCGGCGCTTCTCAATGGCAAACATTCAATGGACGAAAGAAACTCGCTTGAGGTTAAGACTGTCAGAGCTTTGCTTCATGCGGCAGCAAATTTTGACATGTCATGCAATGAAATGCACAAAATGCTCATTTGAAACAAGAAATTATTAGAAAAGATTAATTCAGGAGAGAAATATAAAAAATTTGATCACAAATAAATATTTTCAAATTTAATTTTGAGTGTACTTTTTATTTGCAAATTTTCTCCCTATGTACTTTTTTTACAAGATTTTTATACTTTTGAGTGGCATTTTGTCGATCGGAGCCCTGATTTAAGGGTACTGTATTTTCTGGTGTAGTTGGAAAATTTTAATTCTAGTAAGGGCAATGGAGCAAAGTTCGAATCCCCTTGAAGGAAACTATTTTTATTTTGCCATAAAATTAATTTTTAATCAAAAACTGACTTGGAATTGATAATCTAGTCAGCTTATCTTTTTTTATTTTCAGCTTTTTTACCCTCTAATTTTAAAAAATTCTTAATAAAATGGTATCCTCCTTAGCAGCTTCATCAACTTCCGCCTCTTCCACCTCCTCAACTTCCAGTAATGCCCAAGACCAACAATTGTACTATGCCCAATTATTAGCTGTACAACAGCAAAATGAAGGAAATGTTGAAAATAATATAATCAAAAGTGTTGAGGAACAACAAGAATTAAATGATAGGAAAAAGGAAGAAACTGAACGGGAAAGGAAGGAAAGGGAATGGAGTGAAAGAAATACTAATTTAATTGTTAAGTTGTTAATATATGTTTTTAAGACATACATTAACTCTCAGCTTAATCCCAATAGCCTATAAGCCTTATAACATTTAGCTAACCAATACTTTTTGGTTATTACCAAAAGGAGTTGCCCGCTTCCCGATCGGTTTTCCAGGTGTATCTTCAACCAGAACTTCGATCCAAAAAATAAAAACCCTCAAATTGAAGGCCTAGTATCTCCTTTTTGTTTCACGATCTCGTAGTTCTCATTAAAGCCTTAGTTCCTTTTCCTAAACCACCTTCCCCACCCCCACCGGTTCTTCTCGCAACCTTTACTACAAAAAAGGCTCTGGTCTAGTAAAGGTTCACTGGATTGATAAACTAAACTAGAACCAAAAAAGATGAGATCCTTCCTCTTTGTTTTTTATTTTAAATTTAAAGGTTAATTATGTTCCCCAAAATATGAGCCAAGAAGAAGTACGTGCCCTATTTGGATCTATCGGAGAAGTTGAAGCCTGTAAACTCATTAAAGACAAAAATACAGGTCATTTATACTTTAAAATATTTTTAATTTTTAAATTAACCTAAAAGCTTTTTTTCTATCTTTGCCTTTCTAACCTTTCAAAAACTGATTTTTTGCGTTTTTGAAAAAATTTTTCAGGAGTTTTTCATTTTTAATTTTGAGCCTTATTCTTTAGGGGACAATTTAGACACCAACCACTAGTCATGTCCAAACTCGTAAGGCAAGAAGGGAGATCCAGAGCTCGCCAGCTTAACTTTCACTAACATCAGACCTCATTTTATGTACACTCTTAGGGCTTGAAAAACCATATTTTAAGATTTGTACACAAAATTTAAGGATGTATGGCCCTCTCTTCCTCCACAATTACTTTTGGTATAAGAACCGTGGCTACTTGGCATAACCAAATATTTCAAATAATATAGAGGGGTTCTATTAATATAGGCAAATATTAAAATTTACCCCCCCCTTCCCCCCCCCCAAATTTAAATTTAAAAAATAATTTTCTCTCTCTCTCACTGTCAGTCTCTGCAATGGTTTTATTTATTTAATTTTTCATTTATTTTTTAGTTAATTATTTTTATTATTATTAAATTTATTTTTGTTTTCAAAAAAAGTTTTTTCCTCATTTTTTCTTGATTGGTTTAGGCCAATCGCTTGGCTATGCTTTTGTAAATTATGAAAGGCCTGAAGATGCTCGCAAGGCCCTTATTTCGATGAATGGGCTACGTATCCAGAATAAAACGTTAAAGGTGTGTGTAGATAACGTAAATGCTTTTAATAGAATGGAAGGCTGTTTGAAGGCTTTTTTCTATTTTTCAAATAAGGAAGGTAATAGGAAGCCCGTTATAAAGCATCAAACTTAGTAAGAAGGCAGCATCTCTCTGATATTCCAACCTTCTTGTGGACGATTTCTCTTCTATATTAAGGCACTCATATGCTTAATGTGAGTTTTTAATGGAAGGCATTCTCCAATAGCATTTTTAATGGAACCTAAAGTAAGGCGGCCGAACTCATCCAGAAAATAGCAAAAGTTGGATAGGACTTGATCCCGATAACTTTCCGGCAAAGCTTTTGAACGCTCAATCATCACCCCCACCGACTGATCGTTTCATTGTTGCTTTATCCACTAGGAAACCTTCTTGGGGTTCATCAGACCCCTTAGGAAGGCGCATTTACTGTTCTTCATATAGAAACCCTCTCTCTTATTCAAATCTGGCAGATTTTCTAAGAAACATTTTTAATTGATAAATATTAGATAATACCAAAAATAAAGCCCATGCCATTCTATTAAAGCATCTACGTTAATAAAGCTATAAATAATATTTAATTCTCGTTTGTTTATTTTGTTTTTTAAATGGTTTTAGTTTTAAATTTATTCTCTCAACTTTTATATTTTTAATTTTAATATCCTTTTTTGATTTTTTTGGTTTTTAAAAAATTTTTATTTAAATTTTAAAATTAAGTTTTTTGCCTTTTCTGTGCTAATTTTATCGGAAAATTAAGAAAAAAAAATTTCAGGTGTACATAGTTATATTAAAAAGAAGTTTAAGCTTAAATAAAACTTGAGTTTAGGTAGAAGAGTTAAAAAAAGTTTTAGCTCAAACTTAAGTTTTTAAGTTTAAGTATATGTTAAGTTCTAGCTTAGAATTCAAGTTTGCGACTTAAGTTATAAGAGTTAAAACTTGTTTTAATTCAAGTTTTAAAGAGAACTTTAGAAACTTAAGTTTACAACTTGTTTAAATTAAATGTTTAAGTATAAACTTAAATCTAAGTTTTAATAAAACTTGGATTGTTTTAATTCAAGTTTTAAGGAGAACTTAAGTTTATAACTTGTTTCACCTTAAAGTTCAAGTTTAAACTTAAAGTTTAAGTTTAATCTTAAAGCTAAATTTTAATAAAACTTGAAAACAAGTTTTAATAAAAACAAGTTTTATAAGAGTTAAACTTGTTTTAATTCAAGTTTTAATGAGAACACAACTTGTTTAAACTAAAAGTTTAAGTTCAAACTTAAAGTTTGAGTTTAAACTTAAAGCTAAATTTTAATATTTAAATCTTGGAAACTTAAGTTTTAGTAAAAACAAGTTTTATAAATTTTGTTAAGCCCATAAATAATACATACATCTTCCCACCCTTATAATTAAGTAATTTCCAATTTTATACTTAAACTTGAATTATTTTAAGGTTTCATTAGCCCGCCCTTCAAAAGATGACATTAAAGGTGCTAATGTTTATGTTAGTGGACTTCCAAAGTCTTTGACTCAGCCAGAGCTTGAGGCTGTATTTAGACCCTTCGGGGCTATCATTACTTCAAGAATTCTTTATGATAATGTTACTGGTAGGGATTTAAGCTAAATTTAAATTGACATCCTCTCTAGGCCTCTCCAAAGGTGTTGGATTTGTCCGTTTTGACCGAAAATCTGAAGCTGAGGATGCCATTGAAAAAATGACTGGTACATCTCCTTGGGGTGGAGACGAGACAATTTCTGTTAAATTTGCAAACAGCCCTACTTCTAATAATGCTAAAACTTCACCTAATGCTTCTGTTCAAGTAAATAGGGAGATTTTAGACTCTATTTGAAAGTAAGAGTCCCTTTCCTTTTCTAACCAACAAACAAAGGAAGGGACGCTTCCTTTCAAGTAGATCCTTTTTCTAATAATCTCTCTCATTTAGTCTCTTCTTCCTCTTCTCCAACAAAATACTCTTCCTTCCATTCCCCTAACTGGAATTCAAGCAGCTCAGTTAAACCTAACACCTTCATTGTTCTCAAACGCAACGGCTGCAACTTCTTCAGCTGGAGGAGGTCCAATTCCTGGGCATGTTCCTCAACATCGCTTTCGATTCTCTCCTTTAGCTGGTGCTCCTTTGATTAGGTAGGGATAGAGATGTTAGAGTCTCAAATCTTAAAACTACCGTTTGAGTCTTGAGAAATAGCCACTAGAGTCTGGGATACGGTAGCTAAACGATCAGACTCTTGTATCACTTTTAAGGACACTGGAGTCTCACATAGATTTTAATTGGGCCCACTAGTTCCATCGGTCCAGTAGAGTCCCATGAGTCCATTAGAGTCTCAATAAATTTTAAAATCTCATTCCTTCTTCAGTGCTTCTGCCCCCGCGATTCCTCCAGGCAACACTTCTGCAAACATTTCCGCTCCTCTCTCATCTCTCCCTTTATTATCCAATCCAGCAGCTGCACTATTACAAGGTGCTAATACTCAAGATTATTTAAATATTTTACAACAACAATTGCTTCAACAACAATTGGCAGCTTATGCTGCAAACATTGCAGCTGCTACAGGACAACAACATCCTCTAGCAGCTCAAAATTTTAATGCTGCGTCACTTGCTGCTGCGGCACAGCAGCAGGTATTTGAATATTAGAGTAGACTATTAAAGTAGCACCCCGTCCCCCGAAACCCATACCCCGAACCCCGACCCAAAAGTCAACCTCGACACCGAACCCTGACATGCCCACCCAATCAAACCCCGATCTCCGACACACCCGACCCCAAAGGCTCGGTATTAAAGTCTCTATCCTTTCCTCTCTCCATTAGAGTCTCAAAAGTTTTTCTTCAACGATTAGAGTCTCGCATTTTCCTCATTTTCAGTACAACATGTATGCCGCCCTAGGCGCCCTTCCAACATCAAACGGAATAAATATCAACACCTCCACAGGAACTTCAACATCTCTATCTTCAAATTTATCAAAAAATCCTTCCCTTCCAGAAAATACCAACCCTACTTCATGGACTATAAACATTAGCAATTTATCCCCCGAAGCAGAAGAATCGGTCTTATGGAAATTATTAGGCCCTTTTGGAGCTGTACTTTCTGCTCAAATGAAAGGAAAGGGTGTTGGTAGTGTTTTGATGGCAAATTATGAAGAGGCTATGGCCGCTATTAATAGTTTAAATGGGCTTATGTTGAATGGGAGACAATTGAAGGTACTTTAGTTTCCCTATTATAAGTCAATGAAGTGCGGCAATAATGAGCTATAACCCCTCTATTTGGTAGACACTCATTATAATGCTTAATGAAGTATCGGCTATAATGAGCTATAACCCCTCTATTTAGTAGACACCTATTATAAGGCTTGAGTAGGTGTCGACAGTTGTGTGTCACAGTGCCGAGATTCATTGTCTTAAGACTTTTCTTGGGTTTTTTCGGTCTTGTTTGGTGTAGAATCTTTGCCGTGAGTCTTGGAAAATTTTCGCTCTCATACAGCTCTAAGATATAACCCCTCTATTTAGTAGACACATCTACTAGAACCCATGCATGACCTATAGCGTATTTTCACCTTTATCAGATTCGCTAATAATGAGAGTTTTATTATGGGCTTTTGAATTTTTTAAATTTCCTGTACATACATTCTAGGTTTCACTAAACAAATCTTCATCTGGAAATATTTATTAAATGAACTACAAAAATATTTAAATTAACCAAGGAAAGATGCATAATTTAAAAAAATAGAAATTACAAAAAATTTACGATTCGAAATGAATTTTCTAGAGGTTCTTTGTCACCTAATTTTTAGCTTATTTTATCACTTTTTTGTTTAATTGTCGATAAATTTTTTAAAAATTTCTATAAATTTTAAATTTTAAATAAATTTTTAAATAAATTTTAAACATTGACCGTGTCTTAGATAATTATTTAATGCTTAATGTTACCTAGAATTCAAATTACACGAGAAAAGAGACTTGATTTTATCCTCCCATAAGTGATGATCCTCCCATAAGTCTCTTTATCCTCCCATAAGTCTCCTCTAAACACTTGAAGTAGCCTTTAAGACCACGAATATCCTTAGGAGTCAAGATTTTGATCCTCCCATAAGGGAGGAATGCGCCGTTCCCGGAGGTAAGTGCAAGACGAGGCCGACGCGCGGCAGAGAGGAAGCAAGCTTCCAACTCTTACCCTTTTCCAAAAATTGTTTAATCTCTTTGATCCCGGTAGGGATCGTTACGGAGATTAAGCCGTAAAGAACAGATACTACACTTTGATCTTAGCCAAAAGGCCGAGAAGCGATAACTTAGCGTAGAAAAGTCAAACAAAAATGGAATTTACTTTAAAAAATATTGAATGGGATGAAGACTGTGGTGGGAGTAGTTATGCTAGAGAGCTCCGTTTTACGTAGGAAAAGAAATGTGAGAAAATGAGAGATTGAAGGAAGGAGGAAGGAAATGGTTATAGAAGGATGACAGAAGTATAACGAGAATGAAGAAGCAAGGATGAAGAAAGAAAGGAAGGAGGAAGAGAACTTGGGGAATTTTTTTGGGAATGAGTGAAAGAAAGGTGAATGGAAGGTTTGTAAACTTGGAAAAAATAGAAATAAAAATTTACAATTTCTAAAATTGTAAATCAGAATAAAGAATCATCTGTCAATATTTTTAAAAAATAATTAAAAATACATAGTATCTTAAATTATTTTTTTGGGCGTAACTCTTAATTTTGGTTTGTTTGGTCCATTATTTTTTGATTAATTTAGAGTAGTAAATATTTTTATTATTTCTTGAACGTTTAATCTGTCAATAAAAATAATCAAAAATAAACTAGAATAAACTAGAAATGTTCTATTATTTCTCAATTTTTAATATTTTTATTTTGGTTTTTATTAAAAGATATGATGCACAATTGTATGTTTTCATCTAAATTTTTTTAAATTCAAAAATTTTTTCGTTATTATTATTAGAGTTAGACGAGAACCACAGAGCCAGGGCTGCCCAAAATTTTAATATCAAAATCCGAGCCGCAATCCGCAAGTCAAATAAACACGCAATCTGAAAAGCAATTTTACGCAACCCGTAATTGCGAAGAGCCTTAGATAGGCCGCCCTCGGTCCCATTATGTATAGACAGGACTGACCAATCTAGGTTTCTAAAATACAATTTTTCGGGCTGTCGATTCTCGTTGGATTTTTAGGCGGATCTTTAGAATTTTTAGCAGATTGAGATCTCTAAAATGCCTAACTAATTAAATCCGCTCTCAAAGATCTTAGAGACATTTTAAATTTTTTTAAAATTCAGTCTTTAACTTTTTTTAGTACATTATCACGAACTCCAGGCTCTAAACCTTTACATTTACGTATTCAACTACCTCCTACCTCTTCAGACAGTATATCATTTATTGCCCTATTTCCCAATGAAAATTGCTTAACTAACAACCTAATTGATAATCGGTATGGGGATCTTTCAGATAAATTTTTTCTAAATTCCTTTAAAGAATTTTTCTCGATTTTCATGGATGTCGTGTAAGTCTGGATTGGTCTGAAACTCTGTTTGGAACCACCAATTATTTTAAAAGTTTGAGACGACAAAAAAGGAGATGGCGTGTTGGACCTGTTCAAAAATGTGAATGTTTTTGTATTTAACTCGAGCTTTTAAATTTTATCTTTTAATCACTAAGGCCTCTTTAGGTTAAGTATTGTAAGGCTGACTATGTTGATAAAGCTAAAATAAAAAATACCAGTCGGTTGAGGGATGATTGAATGGATTTTTTGGACCCGACAGGTCTAAAAAACTATGGTTGATAGCTCAAACCCTATCTAGAGATCGGGCCAGAGCTTCAAAGGTCGGAGATCGGAATTATAAAACAGCTCTGGATCTGACTGAGCGAACAAACTCGTACAACCTTCCCAGTTCAGTACAACCCTACCAGTCCGGGAACAAAAATTTAGGTTCTCAAGAAATCGAGATTTTTTGAGATATCTATCTTGAAACTCGTACGTCCTTCACATTCCAGTACAATCCTTTTAGTCCGGCCTCTAATCCTTGCTTATATTTTGATATTCTCTGACATTTGGTTTTAGCCTACCAAGCCAAGGTTTTACTTGATTATCTCATCAACCTATTTGGTTTAAGTAATTTCCAATCAAATTACTCATAAAATAGTTCAAATTATTTCGCTAATTTCCAGTAAAAATGGGCTCAGCTATTGCCCATTACGGTAATGATATGCACATTGATATGGATTCGACAGGTCTAACAGCCTCTTCAATCGCTCCAAATGGCATTCAAGTTGGTCCTCGACAGCACAAAAAATTTAAATGTTTGTTGGGTATTTCGGCAACTAGAATATTAGAGTTTGACTTATTCATCCCACAAGGAACTGCAAAATGTAGCAGTTTGTCTATTCAATTTATAAGGGGTTTTAAATAATTTTTATTTCTATCGGGTCCTGGCAGGGATATCCGAGTAACTAATCACCTTATAAGTCGAGGTTGAAACGATAATTACCCAGATAATATACTCAGAATTTAAAGTAGGGTAGCTCCCAAAGTCTTCGGGGTCGGATGTTCCCTTGGAGGGGAGTTTCCCTGAGAGTGGTTCTGGGTCGGGGTTGACTTTTGGGTCGGGGTTGGGGTACGGGGAGCTACACTAATTTAAAGTACACCTCATAGTTAGATACAATTTAAACCCCAAGGTCTTATCTTAAAATGAGCTTCAAAAATCCTGGAATGAACGTAATAATTGTTTTGGAAGCTTGAGATTTCTTCTAATAAAATAATGAAAGCTAAATTTTAGGGTCCTGATTATAAACTTTTGGGTACTGAAGAAAGAGGAGAGAAGAAAATCAACGAATTGGATGAAACAGCGATTGCTGATTGAGTTTCTGAATAATTAAAAATTAAGAAGATATTGCCTAAATTTGCGTTATTTGATAAAATTATGTATACAAAATTTTACCATTATGACCCCAAAAAATAAAAATTATTTTATTTGATAAAAAATTAAATATTGCCATGTTTAATTGATTAAAGCATCAAAAAATGCCGCTTTTTTAAAATTTTCTTTAAATTTAAGGAAACATCCTTTCCAAGCCTTTAAGCCTTTCCCAGTTTATTCTTCCGGCTTCTTCTCTTTACAGACACTGTTCTGTCCACAGTAAGTCGAATTATTGCCTGGTGAAGGGTAACAAGCCCCACTTTTCCCATGGTAGTATTGCATGTGGCTATCACAGTCCGTAACTTTGCCGCGTGAACCAACATAACGCCCAGCTTTCACAATACCACGTTCTACAGGTCCGTCAAAATTATAGCCCGCAAGACACGATTTTCCGGCAAACCCTTTGTTAACATCATATTCGTAGAATTCTCCATTTGAGCATTTAAAACGCGTCTGAATAAATAATAAATTTAAAAAAAAATACATATGTATATTTCCTCATTTTTAAATCGGTTGGGCCCCTTATTTAAAATAAATTATGGATTTAAAAGAAAGAGATATGGTATCCTAAATTGGAGGGGATTTACAAGGGTTCCGAAAGTGAAATTTAATTTTTATGTCGACAGGATCCTGGTGTGTATCTACATATTGGCATGCTTGAATTAGGGTTCGATATTACTAGACGGGGCTGGGCTTACGGGGAACGGAAGTTGCGGGGAATTCGAGTTAAGAGAACGGGGAATTCGAACCGCGCGGATGTGGAACTGGGGTTCTGGGGGAGGACCTCTTCCGTCCCTAGGGAATTCCCTTCCCCGGGGACGGGGATGAGCCCTAGTTTGAATGTCTTACATTTTTGTCATGATTCTCCGTTGCTTTATAGTCCGCTGCTTTATTCTCAAATGAGTGTTTATCATCCGATGCTTTATTCTCGAATGCTTTGTTGTCCATATGTTTGTTCTCCATTTCTTTATACATAGTTCATTGTTTTATTGTCCTGTTTATCCGAATCTTTCATTATTAACTTGTTGGGATTTTAATTTAAAAAATTTAATCTAAAAAATATTTTTGTTAAAAAAATTGTCCTTTTAAAAAGCTGTTTAAAAGGGTTTCCAATTCACAATGCTTCAAATTTATAAACAAAAGAATATGCCCAATTTTTAATGATATATGGGCAAGCCGATGATTTAACAATGTATAAACAATAAAAATTATAAACAAAAAGTGTAATTGGATGAATAATGTTTATTTAAAATATAGAGATTAATGCCTAGGATAAAATATTAAATTTCAAATATAAATAAGTTTGGAATGCCGAAGGAAAAAATGTTGGAATAAGACTATTAGGGGATTTAATTAAATTTTCTTCAAAAAACGCCACCCTTATCCTCCTACTTTCCATCTAAAGAGGGTCATATATTTATGCGGACTGATGGGCGGATGGAAGCCTGATTTTTGTGTCATTATTATTCCTGGATTAAAATTAGGGTTGTACCCCGAACGCTCGGGGGCGGGTATGTCGGGGTACGGGGTTTTCCAATTGTTTCGGGGCGGGGTTCGGGTCGGGGGAGCAAAATATGGCCGGGGTTCGGGTCGGGGTACGGGGGTTTAGTGGAAAAATTTTTAGAGAAAAAAATGCTAAAAAATAATTAGAAATCGATATATTTTCGTTGATTTATTCAAAAATTAAGTAGGATTTGAAGAAATTAGAGGGGATTTGAAGGGATTAAAGTGTATAACTTGGTATATAAGTGGATATGGAGGGATTAATTAGGATTTTTAGGGATTAAATGGTATATTTAGGGATACAAGGTGATCTGGAGTGATTTTTGTTTGTTCAAGGGATATAGTGATTTATAAGGATATTGATGTATTGCGGATAAGGGTATTTGGACGGATCTCAGGAGATATCTTCGATTAATCCTTAAATCTCCCACGAAATCCTTGTTAATTCCATTAAATTCACGTAATCCTTTCAAATCCATTTTAATCTAAACCTTATATCTCCTTCATAACTCCTTAAATCCCTTTATAACTCCTTAAATCCCTTAATTCTTCGAATCCTACAAATCCCTTTATATCTCTGATTCCCGTTAACAGGACCTCGATAGTTTTCCAACTGTTATGGTTGAGAATTGGTGATACAGGGGGTTTGAAGGATTAAGGGTGGTTCAAGGGATTCAGTTAAAAATAAAATTAATATTTTCAAATTAAAATTTAACTCGTTAATAATTTGTTTTTGTAAAGAAATATAAAAAATCGAGTTCTCCTTATATGGATCCAGACCCGATCCTATATTAATGAAATATCGGCTAAAACCACGACTAAGCCACTCAACCACAAGTCTCTTACCAAAAAAGGAAAGAAAATTATGATATTTCATTCATTTTTCTTCAAAAATAATAAAAGAAAAGTAAAATGGGTGGAAATTTTTTGAATTTTCTTCATTAATTTCTCCAAAAAAGGACATTTTTTAGGGGTATAAAACCCCGATAACCCCGAAACTTTTTGGGCCGGGGAACGGGGTTTTCACTTTTTTTCGGGGCGGGGTTCGGGTCGGGGAGAATCGTGAAAAAATCGTTCGGGAACGGGGTCGGGGTTCGGGGTACGGGGTCGGGGTACAACTCTAATTAAAATGTATAGCTTGAGTCAAACTTGTTAAAAATCTTGTTAAGAATCTTGTTAAAGATCTCGAAGATTCAAATGATCAGAAGACGCTCCTTCCTCTCTATGTGGACATTATAATGCCTCCTATTATACACTAAAATAATGTGAAAAATATGAAAAAATAAATATAATTATTATTCATTTTTTAAAATTTTTTATCAAAAAAACTCATTATAATAATCATAAACCCGACAAAATATTTTTTAAAATATTATTTTGTTCAATTTAATCTTTTTAATATGTTTGTACTAGGGATTTGATTATTTTTTAGATTTATTTATTTTTTAAAAATTCGGAAAAAATTTTATTTTCCTATATCATCAATTTTTAACATATTTTTAATTTTATAAAATAAAATAAAAATTTATTTCTAATAATATTAAAAAAAATAAAAGTTTGTACTTATTGTAAAAATGAGGCTAATAATTAATTATATTCTGATTATTTTCTTGATTAAAACATCAAGTTTTACTGTTGCGTTAAAATGTTTTCAGGTAATAAATAATTACAAACTTAAGTTTGTAATTAAATCAGAATTATTATATTTAAAATCAGAATTATAAAAACACAATAAAATTAAAATCAGAATTAATGAAAACAAAATAAACTTGAAATCAGAATTGTAAAAATATGTGAGATTATCAGAATTATTAATAGTAAAATAAAATCAGAATTGGGAATTAAACTTAAATAAAGATCAGAATTAACACTTTTTTAATTAAATTAGAATTACAATTTGTAATTAATAAAATCAAAATTATTAAAAACAGAAGAGAATTAAAATCAGAATTTTAAAAATATAAGAGATTGTGTATCAGAATTATTAATAATAAATTAAAATCAGAATTACAAACTTGAATTAATAAAATCAGAATTAACACTTGTTTTAATTAAATCAGCATTAAAGCTTGAATTAAATAAAATCAGAATTACAATTTGTAATTAACAAAATCAGAATTTGAACTTTAAATAAAATCAGAAATGCAACTTTAAATAAATCAGAATTACAATTTGTAATTTAAAAAATCAGAATTTC